TCTTTGGCAAAAAACCATGCTGATTGGGGGAAAGTTTTGCTGCAACTTCGTTATATAAAATCTCAAAAATTATGACCTCAAATATTTTAGATACAGCGCACACAATAGATATAGGGCGGTAGTTTCTAATGTCTTGCCTTATGCCATTCTTATAAATTGGTATGACCTTGGCTACCTTCCATTTATCAGGATATATTGAGGTTTTGATGACCTAATTAAATAAAAACTGAAGGGGGCTCAATAAATGCTCAGCACAACCTTTAAAAATATAGACCATCAGGTCCGATTGCCTTGTTAGGTTTAATTTTCTTCAAGGCATTTTCAATGTCCGCCTTTGTAATTAATTTTTCACAAAAATGAGACTGCACTTTAGTTGAGCCACAATTGACTTGTCCAATATCCACATAAACTGACTTAAAAAAGCCAGCAAACCCATCTGCCACGTTCTGAGTGCCTGAGTAAATATTATTATCTAAATTCATTTCATTAAGTAAGTCAGGACTATCCTTTAAACCCTTTAAGTATGACCAAAAGTATTTAGGATTGGAGACTAAACTATTTTCAACATCAATCAAATATTTTTCGTGGGCTAATTGAATTTTATTTTTAATTGTTGTTCTTAAGTTAGTATATTTAGTTTTCCAATAAAGAGATTTAATTTTGTTTGATTTTATTCGACATTTATGTTTTTCTTTTAGTAATTTTATTATTTCAATATTGAACCATATTGGATACTTTTTGTCACCTTCTGTTGATTTTGGAACACATTTTACAAAAATGCTCTCCAAAGTCCTATAAAAAGTTTCCAAAGCCCTATTAACATCTTTAATACCATAAAGGAAATCCCAGTCCTGATTTCGAAAAAGATTGTACATACTATAAAAGTTTGCTTTTCTAAAATTAAATTTGGTTGAGGGCTGAATTTTACAAAATTTGGCAGGAGATCCTGTCAGCAAACCCACACTCAAACAAGGATGATGCCTGACTACTGGTACTAGAAAATCACCCGTAGACTCAACACAAACATTATCAAAGGAGGCAAGTACAAGGTCCAAGATAACATTATTCTGATTTCTAATTTGGTTTACTTGTTGACAGTGATTAAAAGCAAGAAATGCCCTTAGGTCATTTACTATGCTATTGCATGAAAGAGTGTTTACATATCCAGGAATATTAAAATCACCTATAACAATAACTTCAGAATTATCTATGTTAATTAGATTATTTTCAATTTTTTCATAAAACCTTTCATAAACCTCCCTAGGACTATTTGGCACAATATAGATCAAAACCATGAACAAAATTTGATTACCTTTCAGTTTAATTTGGATACATAGTGCCTCCTGTTCATCATCAAACATTCTTACTTCAGAGACATCGTAGAAATTCTTTACCGCCAAGAAGACACCACCACCCTGAAGTTTCTTGGTAAGAGAACCATTCCTATCTTTTCTAAATGTAATTCTATTACAGAAGCAAAATTCTGCAGTATTTATGGAATCATTTAACCAAGTTTCACCTAAAGCAATAATATCATAATTGTTATTTAGAATATTGTACTTAAGACTATCTAATTTAGTTTTCACTCCCCCACAGTTCTGATAAAATATAGTTAAGTTTAGGTTATTATTGGGACTTGTTCTGCTTGATGAAAATTTTGTACACCGGGAGATCTCTCATTGGAAGAATGGTTATTAATAAACTGTGAGTTATTTGATATGCATGAGAAATCACCTATTGATGTGCTGCTATTGAAACTCTCAGAATAATTAGTTGAAAGATTACTGATATTTTCATCAAGCTTGATATAAGTTAGATTTTTAATGTTAGAAAAATTGACCAGACTACAGATTTTTTCAGAAATTTTAAAATTAGTATTCTTTCTTCCTCTGTTATCGTAGATATCAACAAAATTTAATTTATTTGGAGTACATTTGTCAAAATTGTAAATCAAGTGCCTAAGTCTAATATTAAATGCCATACAACTGTTTGGACATTTAAAACAAATTGGGGATGACAAAATTATTACATTGGTATGGGTACATTCTTTTAGGCATTTTAATATGGACGAATAATTGGGAGCTACGTTTCTAAGAGAATAATCATTGTAGCCGGCCATAATCACTACATGGTCATTAGAGTCAAAATTATTTGTTAAGGCACTCACATTCTCGGTCACTGCTTCGAAACATGCATATGGTTTCATAACACTCTGTACACTGAATTTGGTTGGATCAAGCAAATATCTTAACTTTGAATCCAGTCCTCTACCCATTTCATCGCATAACAATAGGAGTTTGCTTGCTGGTTTTGCAAATGGTTTATCATTTTTAGCAGTATCCAGTTCATTGTGCAGAGTATTATTTTGAGTAGCTGCTATTTTGTCTGTTTGAATAGCTGCGTCAGAGCATGAAAAATTTGATTTGTCATTGACCTTTTTCCTTAAATTCATTGAGACCTGAACATATTTGTCATTTTCTTGTGATAAAGAAGATATATTTTTTATGAGAGTATTGTTTAGATTATTAAGCTCCATTATTTCACTTAGTTTTAGTTCTTCGGACAGTTCAGTATTTTTTCTTGTAAGTTCAAGTAGTTCGTTATTCCTTTGTTTCAATTCCATTTGCTGTGCCTTAATGGTAGATTCAAAGTTCTGTTCAGCTTCTATAACTTCAAGGTCCATGCAGTGAGAACTTTTTTGTAAACGCTTAATCTGATCATCTTTCGCTTTACTAATATTTTCAAGACGCCTATTTTCTTCTTGAAAACTGCTTTTCAGATCTTCAAGATCAAATTCAAGGTGGTCTATATATGAGTCTTTCTTTGTGAGGTCTTTCTTAAGTTGATCAAATTTTTTAGATAGTTGCTCCATGTCTGACAATGACGCTTTGCATCCTTCACAAAAGAACAATATGGTCCTGTTTTGGACATATAATGCATCAATTTCACTAGCTGTAAAGTTTGCACATTCTTTACATACTGTAACTTGGCATACGTCGCAGTTCGTGCCGAAAATCTCTCCATCTTTCGCATTAGGGCGACGCTTAAATAAGCACTCAGATTGGCAAATAGAGCAATTTAAAGCCATTATGTGTTTGCCTTTAACATTCAATGTAACAGAATAAAATAAAATACAAACATTATATTATAAGTACCATACATAGAAAGAAACATTTTACACAGAGCCATGTCGTATTTCCAGCTAAGTTTAACGTTTAACGTATATCGTGCGAAACATGGAAAAATAGGACCCCAATTTAAAGGTCAACACTCTCCGAATTGAAATAAATAAATCTTATAAAAATACTTCAGCCGATATGCAAATTAGGCTGATAAGAAATAGTTGTTTTTGTGACACATGAAACTAGAACTGAATTATTATTTATAGTTTTAATTGTACGATTTACATAACAAATCAAACAGCAGCTCATTCACTTCACTAATCACTAGAAAGAGGAAAATTTATACTTTAGAATGATGCTAAACACAAACATTATTTTTCACTTAGACCCCAGTTACAAAATTTTAATACACACACCTAACAAATAAGCGCGAAAAGACTATAACTATGTTGTCGTTTTGTATAATATTTATTATGTCATTGGTGTATAAAATATAGAGCAGAGGAGACAAAACAGCTCCCTGAGGGACGCCCCTGCTGATTAGTTCAAATTCTGATCTTACTTTTTGTCCATCTTTTCCTAGCTCCTCTGTGCATTGCCATCTGCCTTTTTGAAAGGATTCAATCAGACGCAGAGCCATGCCCATTATGCCACATGCAGCCAGTTTTTTTTAACATAGTTTCATGGTGGACACTGTCAAAAGCTTTGGTCGAGGCTTTGGTCAAGTCTAGGCATAGCGCTGCGGCTGTTTGTTTCCTGTTCAATGTGTCAATTATTTTTTTAGTTGTTTGATAGATTGCCCTGATCCTTGATTTACCCTTTCGAAATCCGTTTTGCTGATCTGAAAGGATGTGCTCACTTTCCAAGAAATTTGTCATTTGTTGATGCATTATTTTTTCAAATATTTTGCTGAGGTTGTTTAAAAGCGAAATTGGGCGATAGTTTTTCAGATCATTTTTTTCACCTTTATTTTTATACAAAGGCTTGACAATTACAAACTTTAAGGCAGATGGAAATTTACCCGTTTCAAAGCTGAGGTTTATTATATAGGCAAGAGGTTTTGAAATTATGTTAGTAGACTCACTGGAATTTCATCAGTGCCAACTGATTTTTTGTTTTTTAGGCCTTTGATGATGTTTTCTACCTGTTCAGGGTTTATTGGCTTAAAGTCAAAGCTTTTTTTATTCAATAATAAGCGGCTACTGTTTTCAGGTTTGGAGTTGTGAGTTAAATTTTGACATGAGTTTAGGAAAAACGAATTACTTAACTTTATTTAAAAATTTAAGGGAACTGATTTTTTTTTCCTGCTTAAATAATGCTTTTACCGCAATTTTTTTTTCTTGAATCTACTATTTGAAATGTAATCTTCCTAATAAAAAAAAAAACAATTTAAAAATCCACTGTCCGTAAAGTCGTCAGGACCCTTCAAATTTTGCAAGTGGAAGTGGATAGGAAAAAGATTGAAACTTTCCTTCTGATCCTTTACCTTCAAGGAGGAAACTATTGAGCAAACCACCTTACGAATTCTTTGCTAAAATCATTGAAATTAGAGGAATGCATGGAAATTGGGGGAATTTATTGGCTTTAATACTGAGCGTAATAAAAATAGAAAAATAATTTTTTTATCGCAAACAATTTTGGGGATTTTTAGGAAATTTGTAACAGGCATTTGCAGGGAATTTGCAAGCAGTTTGCAGGGAATTTGGAGGAATTTGTGGGGAATTTGGAGAAATTATTTGCACAAATTCGGGAGGGTAGTTTCTCGGGTGGTTTACCCCTTGATTTGTGCAGATTTCTCTAATTATATTTTGTATGTTTCTAGGATGGTTTTAATACACAAAAACCATTTAAATTGCTAAAATGAACCGTTTTTTTTACCGTAAATTTGTTGATTTTTACTCAACCCTCTCCTGCCACTTCGGTTAATGTTAAACTCATTCTCCAAGTCGTAATCCGTGATTTCGAATTTCTCCATTTCTTCCTCCATTATTAACACTTAAAACTACACTTCAAGCATGAAATTTCTATTTAATATTGGAAAGATTTAATTCAAATAAAAATCGTATTTATTTCGTAAATGTTTTGACCATCATTTGACAAAATACAATAATGAAGCATGACATTCTCAAGATGGCGTGGAGACCAAACATATAATTATGCAGAGTCAATTTGCAAGAACTTAGGAATTAGGAATTATCCTGACTGGTCAAAGGCATCTTATCTATCAGATTATAATTGGAATAATTTAACTTGCAAGCAAAATAACAACAATTCGCACTATCTCTAATCTCTAATATAAAAACACGTTACAAAACAAACTTGCTTGGCCGCCACGCCATATTGAATATTTTTTTGACAGATAGTTTTGGACAATTTTTAGGTTAGGTTCGTCGAAAAAAGGGGGCCAAAAATTATAAATTTAAAGGACTCCCGACTCTTAATTATTCAAGAAAAGTGATGCAAAGATGTCTTCAAACGCCATAAAAGTAAGTTAAATAAAAAATATTGATCCTAAAATTGAATTAATTAAATTATAGTCAATAAAATCTTTGGGTGTCTTTCAAAAACCAACCATTTTCGATAAAGGCCCTGGAGCTTTACTACCTGCAGCCTACAAGAAATTTTACAAAGAATGGCGTTCCACTGAACCGTCAGCAGTTCACTACATCCCCGAACAAGGCAAATGGAAACGAGACGAAGTTACTGGAGAAGTGAATCCTGTACAAAACATCCCTGTGCCACTATTCTATCCTAAAGAACATAACAGCCATTTTTGGGGCGGTGAAGGAGTAGTACAAGGTTTCCAAGCTCGTAGCAGGAACACCCGAAGGGTACCTCATTTTTGGGTTCCTGTATTAAAACGTTCCGTAGTTCACAGTGAGGTTTTGAATGAATATTTTTCTATAATTGTTACCGAGAGAACCATACGGCTTATAAATGCTAATTATGGCTTTGATCATTATTTACTAAAAACCCCAGCTTGTGATTTGAAATCTCTACTGCCTTTGGGATTGAAAAGGAAAATTTTGAAGGAGCTCGAAGCAGGTTGCCCTAATGTGAACGAAGAAAAACGACAGGAAATTTTGCAGAAGTATGGCAAATACTTAGAAGCCTATACTTCTGAAGAGATTGATTGGTACGGATATTCATTTTCTGAAGCATGTAGAAGAATAGAAAAACAAATGGAAGAACAACAAACTGTGGTGCCGTTGAAACATGTTTATAGGTCTCAATTAATTGATAAACTCCGAGCAGCTAATATTGAAGAAGCCATGGATGAATCATTGAAGTCTAGGTAAGAACTGTATACAAAATGTGTCAATGATTTTTTCTAATTCTTCTTTTCTAGTGAAAGCGGTTTAGCAAATTCCTGGCTCCAAAAAATCAACCCGTTCGCCAAAAAAAGCAACCCTTAGACCAAATATTTGTTGTAGAATTTTCGTTAATAAAACCCTAATTATTATTGGTACAATTTTTATTTCAATTAATTAATCCACAGTCAAATTCCTTTCTTCCTCTTCCAGTCATTTAAAAACAAAACTTAACCAATCAGTTATCACAGAAATTTGACTTAAAAAATAACAATAATATAATAATATACATAATTTGTAGCTTATTTAAAATACTATTTTGGTTATTTTTTCTCACTAGGTTAAAATAGGTTTTTTTTTCTTCAGTCGATAAAAGGGTTTATTATTACACACTACATTTTAAGCTACCACTAGGGGCTCGTCGTCAGCAAAACCCACAATTCTCGGACTTTCTTCTTCTTCTAGGCCATTGTCGTCAAATGTGGCCGCTCCTGACCTGGAACTGTAGTGAGAGTTGGCGAAACGTACAAAACTGTTGTGGAGACTGAAAAAAAAAAAACATAAAATCAGTCGAGGGAATAAATAAGCGGAATTGGAAAAAAATACAAGAATCCAGAAATTTGGAAGGAATAAGGACATATAAAATTTTTTTGTGCCCATGAGGCTTGCATATTTAATATTTGAAGCACAATATTTTGAATTTTAGATATTGAGATGTTTTTTTTTTAATAAATAGGTAACTTGTACTAAACATGATACAAACTTACCGTCTATTGCGTATTACTAAAAACGCTACGACTCCAATCAATGTAACAACGACGAGTAAGCTGGGTACAATAATTGCGGGCAAGTTGACTGAACTTTCTTGCACCAATTTTGCACTGACTTTACTCTGAGTCGCCGATAATCTGGAAATGAATCCTTTCGCAGTTTTAATGCGGACAGCAAATGTGTATGTGGTGCTGGAGTCGTTTGTATACAAAAACGGCGGGTAATCCACAATAAACTTCTGTGCAGAGTTTTCTTCCAATTTGGAACCGTCTTGCACGAGGACTTCGTAGGAAAACGTTCCAGTGGGTTTGATGTCGTGTTCGCTCCAATACACAAAGAAACTGCCGTTATTTTCTGGAAGTACCCGAACTTCGAGTGGTGGGTAAATAGGAGGCGCTGTATAAGTGACAGCCTCGCTGGGAGTTGCATTGAAAACGCCCGTCATTACTGTAATGGTATACACACCGCCGTTTTCTACGTCTACAGTGTGAGTCAGTTTTTTGTTGACTGAAGTGTGCCAGGTTTGGTGACGAGTTTGTTCTGTTATGGTAACCTAAAATAAAAAATCCATTTGTGATATATTTTGTAAAGTCTGTTTTTTTTTTAAAGATAATTCCCCAAGTCAAAAATTTAGTAACTATGTTGGTAACACAAGCCTTTTCTACATAAAGAATTTGAAAGCATTGACAGTTCTACATTGTATTGCCAACATAATGTCATTTTGACTTTTATCTTTAAAAAAAAAACAGATTTTAACTCAAATCGAAAACTTGAATCGATAACTGTCGGATTTATCGTTTTTTGAAAAAATTTGGTGTATTGACTTTATTGACTTAAAAAGTTTGAAAATGTCACTTTTTTTACTTTTACTTTCGGCCTACGGGTTGAAAATTTACTTTCGACCCGTGGGCCGAAAGTAAATGAAATTTCTAAAATTTATTGTATTTTTTGACTTTTACTTTCGGCCCACGGGTCGGTAATCATGAAACCTCTTGTGGACCGATCGCCGAAATCTCCCCTTATAAGGTGTGCGAGGTCCCTTATTCATCTCGATTTTATCGTTCTCAATTGTCTATTAACGTTTTCAGTCTTGATTTTATAAAAGTTACAGAATAGACTAGATTATCGACGTTTCTTTTAAAATTGTATTAAGTACTTTAAAGATAAAAACAACAAAATCGAAGCTACTTACAATATAGTTCTGTTTCTCGTCGTTGATACAACTGGGTTGCCACATAATCTTAATTCTCAAAGCGTCATTATCTTCAGGTACCACTTGCAGTTTTTTAGGCGGCGCCCTCTGACTAGACGAAGTAGAAATCTTTTGGTACTTATCCGAAAGCGGGCCGAATCCGTAAGGTCCTACGATGCCCACCGCGAACAAATACGTTTCACACGCATGCAAATTGCTTATAGTTGTACTGAGGGTAGTCACTTGAGTGCCAGTTGGCTTGAAAATGTTCTCGTTAATTGTACGATAATAAACTCCGTAGATCCATTCAGTTTTGCTGAATTTATCAGGACGTTGCCACGTCAGTTTGACAGTGGTGCCCACATCTTTGACTAACAGTGCTTGGCTAATTAGGATTGACGGTAATGGCGTGCCTAAAGTGGCAATTTCCAAACGCGAATGTGGACCTTCTAGGTTGTTACCGTAAGCGTAAACCTGTAAAATGTTTGTTATAAAAATCTCTCAGTCTCAGTACAATTATTATTATTGACCTCAAAGTAATACACGACTCCTGGGGCTAAAGATAAAGAAATGTTTGATGTTTTAGTGGTATTTGATTCTAATGGAAGATAAAATGGATTTTCTGTGGTGATATTTATGGCAAAACCTTCCATAAAACCATCATAGTCCCAATACAATTCTACTGTAGTGTTTGTACTATTTCCCCTCAAATTTCTTATTTCATTTATGGTGGTTTTTCCATCAAAAACTATCGTAGCTGGAGTTGATTGGTTACTCTCGAATTTACCATTGAAAGCAGTCACCTATGCAAAAATCAATTAAAAGCTGTATTAAATTAATTACAATTAACCTACCACAAAACTGTAAGATTTGCCATGTTGAAAATCAGCCGTTATGATTTTCGATGTGGCATTGTTGCCCGATTTAACTCTGACAGGAGTTTCTGTCGGCGTCCATATAATTTCGTAGTCCAATATTTTGCCATTAGGGATAACAGGTGCATCCCAAGTAACCAACACATGAGAACCATTTTGCTGTTTGGCTTTAACGTTAATTGGTGCAGAAGGTATACCTAAATTTTAATGAAAAATTATAAAAGGTAAGTATAATCATTTTGTTGTTACCTTCTTGAGTATAGGAGATGTAATATCTAGCAGGTGGAAAAACAATACTTTTGTCTTTTTCCCTTACATACACAGTCATGTTGTATTTAGTGAAAGGTACCAAATTTTTAAATTGAAACTCAGTCTCCTCGGTCCAAGACTCGTTGCGCCATTTATCCGAACCCACTTTACTGATTGAGGGTAGAAATTGCAATTTTACATCGGGCAACGCGGGCGAGAAGGCCCAATAAAGCAAAAGGGTGGTAGCATCTGAACCGCGCATGTCCTTCCCCATTTGCATTACCTGTAGGAGACATCAATAATTGAGTACCAAGTCAAATAATGAAATTTAGTTTAACCTGATAGACTCTAGATCTTTTAGAACAGTCCTGTTCGTCGTAGCCGTCCTTGCAGTTAGGTTTACCATCGCACATTACCGATAATGGGTAGCAACTGCCTCCGTCGCAAGGGAAAAAGCCCACACTACAACTGGGCGTGGCTGGTTCGTTTGGTATATTGTACTGATCCTGACAGAAAGCTTCGTCTGTGTGATCTGGACAATCGGGCACACCATTGCAGACTAACGATCTCTGATGAAATTTTAAAAAAAAATCCTTGAAAATTGCTCAAGTCGTACCAAATTTGGCAATAGTATATCTATATCTATTTATACAGGGTAGTCCAACAAGTGCGCCTCGGTCAATAGTAATTTTTAAGTATACAGGGTGTCTCAAAAAGGAATAATCACAAATTTTATGGTTTTTTTAAATAGAATACGGTATGTTTTTGTGTGGCAAATGAAGCCTCTATATGCTCTGTAATCAACTTCAAAATCATATTTGGGTTGGATGCAACGTTGCCAAGTTATGATTTTTCGAAGAAAAAAAAATAGACCAAAACATACTTTTCTAAAATTGTCAGATCTCCGCCACTGTACATTAATTTCCATTGAAAATTTACATGTAATTTAATGTTAGCCTAGTTGCTCCTACATTACCTTCATTTTTCGATTTAAGTATACAGGGTGTCCAAAACATTTGTCTAAACTCGTCAATTTTAAAGTCCATTTTAATTGAGTTTTTCAAATACAACACCCCGTATATTATTTTTCTATCGAAAAGCTGAAAATGTCCTCTTTCAGAAAATATCATATTTGTCGTATCTATCTCGTTAATATTTTGAGATTTTGAGCACAAAAAATGGTGAAAAGTATAGTTATTTTTGTAGTTTTGAGAATTTTGAAAATTTTATAGGTTTCCGAATTTCTAGTTGCGTATTTTTGGCCATATTGAAAAATTTCGCCAAAAAAACACACACTTTCCACCGTTTTTTGTGCAAAGTTAAGGGAAAATCCGAGGGAAAATCTTAATATCTCAAAATAATAATAAGATAGATACGGCAAATATGATGCTTTCTGAAAGAGGACATTTTTAGCTATTTGATAAAAAAAATAATATACGGGGTGTTATATTTGAAAAACAAATTTATTTTGGACACCCTGTATACTTAAATCGAAAAATGAAAATAATGTAGGAGCAACTAGACTAACATTAAATTACATGTAAATTTTCAAGGGAAATTAATGTACAGTGGCGGAGATATGACAATTTTAGAAAAGTATGTTTTGGTCTATTTTTTTCTTCGAAAAATCATAACTTGGCAACGCTGCTTGCAACCCAAATACGATTTTAAAGCTAAATACAGAACATATAGACGCTTCATTTTCCACACAAAAACATACCGTATTCTATTTAAAAAAAAAAAACATAAAATTTGTTATTACTCTTTTTTGAGACACCCTGTATACTTGAAAATAATTTTGGGTGATACCAGAGATGAAATGCTAAAACTTTTATAGAGAACATTTTTCCATAAGTTCAACGGTTTGACTACTATTGACCGAGGCGCACTTGTTGAACTACCCTGTGTATACAGTGTGTCCACTCAACTTCGCAGCATAAGGGAAACTTTTTTATTATCAATTTTACGAAAAAAAGTTATTCTGCTTCTTGAAAAAATAGTATTAATCTATTAAAACTTGGAATAGCATGTATAGGGTGGTCAGAAAATAGAAAAATATACAGAATTTTTTGCTAAAAAACGGTAAAAGTAGAAAAAAAACGGCACGTCACTATTTTTTGAAACCTTTGATATTTTTTTCAAATTCAGCAAGTCATTCTACAGTCAAAAGATATCTTTAGTTATCACAAACAGCCTTGCCAAATTTGAAAAATGGATTTTTAAGCTAAAAAAACAATTTTTTCTAAAACTTTGACAGCCTGTATCTCAGAAAACTACGCATTTCCGGACACATGTTTATGGGAACTTTTTTTCTTAAAATATTTTAAGGAATCACATCCTGAAGTAACGAACCGTACTCAGGAAAAACCCTGTATATTTTTTTATTTTTTGACCACCCTGTACATGCTATTTCAAGTTTTAGTAGTTTAATATTATTTTTTCAAGAAGCAGAAACTTTTATTAAGAATAACTTTTTTTCGTAAAATTGATAATAAAAAAGTTTCCCACATGCTGCGAACTTAAGTGGACACACTGTATAATAAATCTTATTGGCGCTGCACAGATAATTTCTCTTTTGGTATTCAGAATATCAAAATTACCGTTTTTTATTTCAGTTATTCCAAGAATACTGTTTTACTTCCCTGTATCTCGAGAACTAGTCAAATTGTGTCTATCTATGGACATTTTTAATCAGAATATTTAAAGTAGCATCATATCAAATTTTCAGAAAAATTGACTGAATCTCAAGAGAAGTGTGTGGGGTCCTTTATTATTATTGAAGATAAATCAATAAGTTAATTAAACTCAATACAAAATTTTGAATTCTATTCAAACCCACTCACCGAAATGCAGCTACCATCATTGACACATTTATACTGTCCAATGCCACAGTTGCCCGATTCTTCGCAGTGTTGCTCGTCCTCGCCGTTCGGACAATCGTAGCTGCCATCGCAGAGCCACGCAGACAAAATACACTGTCCTGAACTGCACCTGAATTGATTGTTGCCACACAAAATTGGCATGGAAGGACGCTTTGTGGTCGGTACCAAGGGAGGATAGTACGGATTGGTCTTGGTACAACCTCCTTCGTCGCTGAAATCGCCACAATCGTCCACGCCGTCGCATTTCCACCAGAACGGTATGCATCGGTCATTTTGGCACTTGAACATCCAATCCTGGCAAGTACGATTGGTCTTGTCGGGAAGGAACTCGTTGGTGGGTTTGGGAATGATTTCTTTGGGGTTGGTACAATTTTGTTCGTCTCTACCGTCCGGACAGTCCTTGTCGCCGTCGCAAACCCAAATATTGAAAATGCACCGATTGTTGGGAGGACCGCAAGAGAATTGAGAGTCGTTGCAAGTGTTGTTGAGACAATTCAACTCGTCCGAGCCGTCCCTACAATCCGGTTCGTCGTCGCATTTCCACGTGCTCGGAATGCAAATAACCGCACCACTTTTGCACTGGAACTCGTCTTCGCCTTTGCACTGAGTGGGTCGGTCCGGATCGCAGTTTCTTTCGTCTGAATTATCTCGGCAATCATTCTCACCATCGCACCTCCAATTCTTCGATACACATCGGCCATTATCGCACTGGTACTGACTATCAGTACAATTCTGTTTGGGACAATCGAGTTCGTCGGACCCGTCGGCACAATCGGTATCGTAGTCGCACCTCCAGTAGCTGGGCAAACATTTGCCGTCGCCGCAGACGTGGAAAGTCGAAGGACACGTCGAAGACCCACAGCGAGCTTCGTCGGATTCGTCGCCACAATCGTCTTCGCCATCGCATCTCCAGCCTTTGGGCACGCACAGACCGTTGCCGCAGGAGAAATGCTCGGAACTGCACGAGTTGCCCACACTGGGACAAGTGCCGTTGGCTAAAGGTGCTATTTCACCCGGGCAGAGGCACTCGTCGGTTTTGCTGGTTAGCATACCGTCAGGGCATAAACATTTGTATCCACCTTTCGGTAGTCCGACGCAAATATACGGACAGGAGGCGTTAGAACAAGCGTTTTTACCTGCAAATTGAAAATTACAAAAGTGACAATAAGATTTATGCAAAAAGGAGGCTTCTGAACAATTTCAAAGAAACATTTGGGGAGACCTAAACTTCCCTGAGATTTTCTAGAAAAGTTTTACACTCATAATTTTTTAGACGCCCTGAAAATACTTGAGAAATGGATTAGCGAATGGCAGCTAACACTCAGCGCCGACAAGTGCACTGTATTGAACATTGGCCCCATTGAAAAGTATACAGTTATAATAATAGTTTTATAATTTACATTGTGCTTTTTATTTAACAAATAAGAATGTGAAGAATGAAATGTGCGAAAACACAAAAATATATTACGAAAATTATACAACTCACTGTACATTATTCCCATATGACACAAGAGGCTTAATAAATGATAAGCCTTTTGGGATTATCACGCTTGGTGGCATTTATGGCAAATTCTATTATAGATTTTTTTTAAATTTTAAAGTAATAAAGTTTACTTCGTTGTATAACCTTTTGAATACCACTCGATGTTTCAGGATTACGTAATACTTTTATCTGACACTCATCGCGTTACCAGCAACACCACTCCTCCTTCGGAGTCGTGGTGTTATTGCGTAACACGTTTCGTGACAGGTAAAAGTATTATCCGGTAATCCTGAAACCTCTTGTGGTATTACATTCGAGAATTTCATACATCTGTTAAAACTGGTATTTCAACAACAAACTGACATGTTTTGATTGTTGATTTGAACCAATCAGATTGAAATTACGCGTTAATTTGCACTAGTGCAAATTATCAGATAATTGCATAGTAACTGGTGTTTTGACATTTTTTGACAAAAACTTCAAATTTTTGATTAATGAAATTCTCTTATCAAATACAACTCGTGCAATGGAAATATATTTATAATTTTCGACAAATTTTCACTCATGCGTTTTTAACTGAAAAAGGCACTCGTGCACTACGTGCACTCGTGCTGTTTTTCAACTAAAAATGCATTCGGGTATATTTCCCAAAAATTATCAATAATTTCCATTGCACTCGTTATATTACTATTGATAATAAAATTTCCCTATACAAATACAGAAAAATAGATAGTTTGTACTTGCCACCAGCATTTGCCTTCCTTGTTTAACAAATGAAAATTCAGTGAAACAAATCAATGACGTCAAAAATGTTCGTCGGTTCTTAAACCAAAAGTCATTCATTTCAATTTGTCAAAATATTGAATGTATCATATGAATTAATCTACGACAGCCCTTTTTCAAGTTTCAAGGTCAAGTATGAACCCTGGTGAAACGGACCTACTTGAGATGTTTACACCAAAAAAAAGTGAGGTGGCGTAGTTACGAGGGTGGGAGAGATGATGTTTATTACATAAAGAACTTCCAGAAAACCTAGAAAAATAATAAAAAGGAAAAGTTGAATTTGTATTACTACGTCCCTGAGATTCGTAGAAAGTTTAAATTTTGGAGGTAACTTAGGGAGGTCCTGCATATTACTTTTGAGCAAGAAAATTTTTTCTACATTATACAGGGTTGGTCAAAATTAGTAATTGTGCTGGCAGGTAAAAAAAAGATGAAAAGTGCACTTTTTTAAATAGAATACCCTGTATATTATGAAATATCATGAAAGGCAATTAAAATCCCTAACAAATAATGTATTATGTTCCTATACCTAAATAGTAAAGTTTCGGAAATACAGGCAAGTTTCTGTAAGAATTTTATTAGGTATTTAAAAATTTTGTCTTATTAAATAGCAGTAACAAGTGTGTTAAGTGAACTTTTTTTCACGAATGTGACGTGCGACAATCACATAAGTAAAAAAAGGTACTGTACACACTTATTGCATACAATATTTTTTCTGCTATTAATAAAATATGTGAGAAAAATAAATTTAGACAAATACTTCACGCAAGTGCGTGAAGTAATTTACCAGAAAAAGAAAAATACTGAATCGACAGTGTCGACATCTGTCATTGACATTACTTTACGCACTAGTGTATGAAGTGAAATTTAACGTCTTCGCAATAGTGCATAAAGTGAGTACTTTACGTAAAGTAGTAGAAAAAATACTGTCACAACCTATTTTGTTGCATCTGGGGGTTTGGGAATGGGATCTTTTTGTACTTGACCGCATGTGGATTTTGATTATCCCAAAAGTGTTGATTTCTCCTATCAAAAATACCTCCTCTAGAAAATTTAGCTTCATCGGTCCTTATTTTTTTTTTTAGAAAGTTTAGATACTCATAAGTGTGTGTCAGAAGTCTCTCTTAATATCGAATTTGACGTTGGTAATCATCCGGTTTCAGCTGTTGAACTTTTGTGAATTTAAAGGGATGCAACCGTCCGCAAAATTCAATTTCGCGGCCGCTATATCCAGTGTCGGACTGGGGGTCATTTGGCCCACTGGGCAAATGGTGAAGTGGCCCACCCAACCCGAACCCCATTCAATAAAAAAAAAGATAATCATTTGTTAAATCTGGTACCTATTTAAAAAAAAATAGGTACCTAGGTAGGTACTTTAGGTTTACTCCACCTACCTGCTTATATTTTGTTGTTATTTACTATTTATCGATGTAGTGGATGTAGTTGTATATAAATTACCATAAAAATTAAGAGTAGGTCAAGGTCAGGTAAAATTAAAAAAAACAACAGGATATACTGTGTGTCATTGTGTCCATAATGTAAGTAACGGATAGATTCATTCAAAATTTAGGCATATTTTTTTTTTTTTGGAAAACGCTAGGACACGACAGTTTTGATTTTTAGTGGTGCTGTTTTTAAACTAATTCGTATTAATACAAGATGACCCAAAAAACAGATATCACGTGACGTGACACTTCAAATTTTAAAATGGAATGCCCTGTATATTTTCATGAATATCGATAGAGCGCATCAAGATGAGTTTCGCTTTATCAATATTCATCAAAATATACCTACAGCATTCTATTTAAAAAATTTGAAGCGTCATGTAGTATCTCTTTTTTGGGTCACCTTGTATAAATACAAATTAGTTCAAAAACAGCGCCACTACAAATTAGAATCGTCCGAGCATTTTTCCAAAAAAAAAAAAATATATGATATGAATTTTAGATGAATTTATCCGTTACTGTCTGTATATTATCTCGGAATTGGGGCTAGAGGCTAAATGTAAAATGTCCTTCGGATTGTTCTACAGCATATTCTTTTCTCCATGAAGTCGAAGATGGCCGAGCAATCCGGGAATTAAGTCTTCCTGAACCCCTTTTTGATTTTCTGGGATTGAAAGAAGGGCAGATTGTTGGGCTACTGCATGATGCTGCTTTTAACAGTGGGTTATTTCTTGCAATCTGGGATAGTTTTTCTGTTTCTAGAATCTCTGTGGAAGTAGAACATGCAGAAGTATCCTCGAAACTTCCCTCGGTTGACGAATTTGTATTTATTTTAGTACCTATTCAAATAAAAATTAAGACAGTTGTTGGCTGGATTCTGCAACTTCTAATAATTGTTGTTTTCTCGCGATCGCTCTTTTTTCTGTACCCGTTCTATATAACTTCCTCTTTTTTACCTCTCCGTTCTTGGACAGGGTGTATAAAAATAAAAAAATAGAGGGAGGCAAAAGTCGAGATTTTTAAACGTTGCTAATTATGCTGATTTTCTGAAAAACAATAAATTGCGAAAAACGAAGAGCATTCTTGCGAGTCAATATTTTTCTTTTCTTTCTATATCTATATCTACATAATATATAAAAACAAAAAACAAACAAATCAATACCAAAATCAATGTAAGGATGTGGCTAATTTTACAAATTCACTACCCTGTCTCTGTATTTCTAAAAATCAACAACGGGTACATCAGTTGAATTCAAATCGAATTTACTGATATGCGGCGGGCAATTTCTGCGCGACTTCGACTTGAACTTTTTCAGAGCAGGAAGGAAGTTGATATTGATATTCTGAGGCCATACTAAGAAGTTGGATAAGGAGAGATGCTCGAAGCTGATCAGAATTTTTTTTCTGACGAATAGGGTTGTCTATCAGTGGAATGCCCTTCAGGAAAGCACAGTCAGTGCTTCTTCAAAAAGAAACTTGACAGGGGAGAGAGCTAGACTGAATTTTGTGCATTACATGTGACTCATAACAGTGAAAACAAGGATATAACAATACAGTATGTTACGATAAATTTATCATTTACGTAACATGTCCCATCTCTTCTCATTTTCATCATAAAGTTGTATTTTTGTCATTTCAGAATCAGCAAAATAATAATTCATAATAATCTAAAAATTGGCGCCCCACGTTGGGCGCCAATTTGTTACAAATAACAACATTGTAAATATTTTTAAATTATTATGTATTATTATTTTGCTCATTCTGAAATGTCAAAAATACAATTTTATAATGAAAATGAGAAGAGATGGAACATAAATGATAAATTTATCGTAACAAGCAGGAGTCTCATTGGCGTTACTCAAACCCATAATAATGATAATAATAATAAAAAGAATTTTTAATTACCAATCTGTATCCCGTGCGCATAAACTTTCAAATCCATCAATCCAGCCAGATCCTTGACTACCACTTCGATCCCCTTGTACACGTCTTTATCGCTCGAATAGATGGCGTTCTTTTTCCAATCGTCCCAGTACATGTTGCTCTTGAAAACGGCCACGGCAAACGGATGCGACACGACGTCAGTGTTGTGAACGATATTCACGAAACCGTCTCCGTGCAAATCCGCACTACCGATGTAATCTTTGCGTGCGTCCACCCAGTATATTCGGTTCGCGATGTAGTCGATGGTGATGCCGTTGGGCCACTCCACTTTCTCCTTGCCGAAGAGGATTTTCGGGTTTGTACCGTCACAGTTGGCCCGGTTGACTGACGGGCTTTCGCTGGACCAATCCGTCCAGAAAATGTATCCGGCTTGAGGATGCACCGCTACGCCTCTAGGTTTTTTCAATTGCTTGTTGTCTAAGATGGTCTTGCGCATACGCCCCGAATGGTTTATGTCGGTACGAATCAGTTCGATTTTTGATCTTGTGCCATCGACAAAGTATAATAGGTGGCCGATCCAGTCGTAAGCCATACCTTCTATGGAAGCCAAATCGTTAGCTAATAGGGTTTCTTGTTTGCTCCCGTTGGCAAAACACTGACGATTGATAGTGTCTAGATTTATATCCGCCCAATAGACGCAATTGTTCTCCAAGTCAAAATCGATAGCGATAACATTTTTCAAGTTCTTAATTGGCAATTGTTCCAAGCGACCACTTATTAAATTATAGCGGCTGATGTTTTCCCGTTGAGCGAACAACAGAAAGTCGTCCAGAGCTGTAAAAGGACACGGAACAGGGTCCGGTAAGTAGTGGTCTTGGAAACCATCAATGCATTGATCATTGGGAATCTTTCTGTAACCTTTGGTGCGCAAGTAAAACTGTCCCTGAGGGCAAATTTGGGGCACTTTATATGGATCGTAGCCGATGAGGTTCTTATCCAAAACACATCTTTGGTTGGTTTTTTTGAAGCCAAAGTCGCACTCAAAGTCCATGTAGTCGCATTCGCACGGTTTTTTCGAGATTAATTGCAAGAAATTGGGACCTTGCAAGCATTTGCTGTTTCTCAAGCGTCTCTGGTAAGTGGTTTGCTGGCCTAAGATGCACGGGATGTAGCTTCGGTTTTCTTCAGTTTGGCTCGGAGACCACATTTTGAAGTCTTTATCTGCGCACTTTTGCTTGAACACTTTTTTAAAGTCCACCTTAGCGATGATCCATTGATGTTCTTTCGGCAACGAACCGAACATGGTGAAAATTGTTGTATTTTCTCCCGGTTCAGTCATCAAACCGTATAAGCGAATTTCCTCGTTGTGAAACTGAGTCTGATTCCAAGTCATGCCCTCATCCGTAGAATACAAAATGTGTCGAGTTTCTCCTTTGGTTTTGTAATATTTGACAGCAGAAATAATACCACCGTGATCTCCCATATTGAAAAAATACAATTCTCTCAGAGTCTGTTTCCAAGTCAAACCAGCATCGAGACTTATATAAACTCCATAGTGTCCTTTAAGATTATTACCCAACACACCAGTAGCAATGATAACCCCCGGAGCTGATTTGCTCGATAAAATCGGCACCGACCTACTTTCAGGATACAATTGACTAAACTTTTGGCTCAAGTGCAAAGAGCAACCTTTGGAAGGCGTACAACCGGTGTCTTGACCCTCGAAGTCTTTGCTAGGAGGTTCTAGAAGCCTCCACGAAGCCCCGTGATCGTACGTTATCATCGACCCTAAGTGCTGAGGTCCCAAATTAATTGTTGGCCTACTAATCACCTTCGAAGCAATATAAATCCCATTCAAACCTTCAACTTTGTAAACATCAGCGAACGCTTCCTCAGAAATGTGATGCAAAAAGGAATTCTGCCACGTTATATTTGGAAAGAATGCAAAAATATTCTCCATTGACAGAGTGAAGCGCACTTTGGAATCTCCATTTAAATTATCAGACACATACAAATTAGATAAATACTCGTTGTGGCTTGCTACAACTAAAGCCCTGGTTCCACTAACGTCAGCAATGAAATAATTCGTTATATTCAATGAAGTATCGAAAACGCACTTCAATTGTTTGTTGAGCTTGTAGGAAACGTACAATTCAATGTTGCCAAGCGAATTGTTCTTGGTCGTAAACAAATAGTCACCCTTTATGAAAAAATCCTGGATATTAGTAGCGAAAACTTGACTGATGCGCGTCCTGAATAAATTATTCGAATAAATTATGCTGCCCAATCCTGTCGGCTCGTAGCGTTGCACTAGCAACAGCAAATCGTCACCATTTTTGAGCCAGTAGAAGCTTTTGACGAACTCGTGGGCCTGACGAAAAGTCTCACCAAAGTCTTCAGTGATCCATAGCTGAAACAAAGTCAGCTCAATAATAGTATCAAATTAATGTAGTACGATGATTTACTTACTCGATGTCTAGTGTCGTTTTTATCTAGAACGACAAAAATATTGGCATGGAGTTCGTGGAAAGAGAGCTCGCTGGGTGTGAATTTCAGCGGGATCCTTTTAAATTCGTTACCGTGATCGGTGGTGACATAGAGAACATTGTGTTTGACTTCGGTGAACACAAACTAAATTTGAATATTGATTTATTTATTGTTTCTTTCAATAACAAGTGGGACAAATCCGAGGACAAATCCATTTGAGAAAGGAGTGAAACTTCTTTGCTGAGGTGGCTTGCGTAAGGGGAATATGAACAGTGCGTCAGCGGCATACCAAGGAGAATATGCACATGCTTGATTGGGAAACGGCAGGAGGGAAATTGGATAAAAGTGGGTAAGTTTATCAATTTTTCAATTTTCTTAGTGCCTTTTTTCATAGATTTCGACTTCAAATCTCAGAATAATTCAGTTTATAGAGTTTGGGGAGTCCCCAATGATCATTTAGACAGAAAATCTCATCATAAAAAAAGTTTGAAATTTCATCATTTTAGCACTAAGGTAGCTTATATACCTTATGATTTAGATTTTGGAAAAATTAAATAGGGCATAACTTTTTTTCTATTGAAGATAGAAAGCTATAATTTTCAGCGATTCTCATCCCAATAGAGGACTAAAATCCCTGAAAATTTCAGCTCAATAGTTCCAGAAATAAAATCCTATGTGTAGGGTGATTTATCAATTTATCAATTTTTCAATTTTTCTGAGTGCCTCTTTTCATAGATTTCGGCTTCAAATTTGAGAATAATCAAGTATATGGTGTTTGAGGTATGTTGATTGATCATTAGGATACAAAATCTCAACAAAAAAAAAATTGAAATTTCATCTTTTTAGTAAAAAGGTACCCCCCTTATGATTTTTTTGAAAAACTTTGAAAGGTCAAAACTTTTTTTCTAATATAGATAGAAATCTGAAATTTTCAGTGGAGAATAACAATCTTTGAAAATTTCAGCTCATTTGGAATTTCAGAAATAAAATCGCGCAATTTTTGGATTTTTCAATATTCCTGACATATCTACTTTCTTCAAACATTTCAGTTTTAAATTTCAGAATAATTTAGTAAATGGAATTTGAAGGATCCTAAATGATCATCCTAACACAAAAATAGTATATTACATACCGAGTAGGGAAGTGTTTCAATACTGTCGAGAGATTTATATAGTCAATCGAGACGCGAAACGTCGAGATTGACTATTAATCTCGAGACAGAATGAAAACTTTCCTTCGAGGTTTGTATTCTATTTTATTTACAAGCACACCATTAATTATGATTAGTTATTCAATCCTCAATTTTTTTAATATTAAAAAAATAAAACAGACAAGCCAAAATGTGTCAATCACTGTTTTGACGTTTTTACCTGACATGTTCTCATTGTTGCCAGCAAAGATAAATAAATTAGAGTGAGGGAAATCGGTGAGGGAAGTCGAATAGGGAAATCGGTGAGGGCGATCGAAGAGGGAAGTGACACAGGTAAAGTGTCACTTCCAAATTTTTAAAAAGTCAGTAATGTCAAGATATGGTCAAGATTACATATATGGTTGCAAATAAAAAATTGTAATTTCATCATTTTACTATTTAAAAATAAGGCCGTGGCTAAAGTAACAGAGGTGTTACCACAGCATATACAAAAACAATCAGCAGGCTAACTTGAGTGACAGCCCGTGTAATAAAGGAATTCATGGTCGGGATGTCACTAGCGGCCATTTTGGGATACGAGACAGGACATGAGCTGGAATTCTGTAACGAATAGAGATATTTTCGCTATCGCTATCGACGTCCCCTCTCTATTGAATTCAAAAAGAGAGAAGAAGACAGCATGTGCCATAGCGATAGCGATAACAACCTCTATCCTTTACAGAATACTGCCCCTGATTAACAATAATTTAGATTTTTTCTCTCGGGTCACAGAGTCGTATTGGCTTTAAATAAACTAATTTAATATTACTTTCATATAATAATATTTATCCTTACTAATTTATTATTATTTTTAAATATACAAGAATGATAACTGATAACACCATAAATGACAGCATGAATAATATACTAAAATCACTTTGAAAATCATAACTAAAATTCCGCTCTACACCACACGCCTATGACCTCCGTCAGAAATAAACAAATAAATTAAAATGTCCGTGTCCCTGCCGTTTAATGACAGGATGATATCCCCTAATGGCGGCGTGCGCAGAAAAGATGCGCATGAGAGTTAGCCTGCTGATTGTTTTTGTATATGCTGTGGTGTTACTATAATATTTTTTAAAAGTAACATCAGTTCAATGACGTCACCGACGACAACGTTACTTTTAATAGGGGTTATAGTAACAGAGGTGTTACTCTAATTATTTTCTTGAAAAAACGTCAATATAGCAATATGTAGATAGCTACTTTCTTTAGCAATAGTAAAGGTGATATTCAACATAGGGTTGGAAAAAACCTGGGTTTTTTTGAAAAAGTCCAACCCGTCGGGTTTTTTTGGGTTTTTATGGGTTCGATTATCTACAATCCGAATATTTCGGTTTTTCGATATTTTGCGAAATTTCAGAAATAATCCATAACGACTATAGGCAACCAGAGATAAAGAAAAAATCTCTATTCGTTACAGGGTCCTAGCCCAGATATACACTTTCCATTTTGATAAGAACGCAAATTATCGAAAAACTAAATCCATCAAAGAATGTTTATGCCAATTTTGAGCCAATTCTGATATGAGTTGTTCTTTCTCTTTGCAGACTAATTTTTAAAAATCCACATAGAACTGACAGATTTCAATGTCATTTACGCCCCTTCAAGTGCGCTCTTATGTATTTTTATTATTTCTCTGTTTTGTTAAGGTTTTAATCAGTTATTATGTACTTTTGGAAATGAAGTTTTTGCACCTTGTTGTGATTTTAAGTAATGCTGAAAGTGAAAATGAGTTTGCCCCCTCTAATGTTTGGTTGCCCCCTCTGGAATCAAAACCTGGCTACAGGCCTGACCACGCCTCTGGCTGGCCACCCCATAGACTCCGTGTCATGTAGAATTCTTCATATCGACAAGATTCTATAGACTTGGCACATTCGATATATTGAATTCTAAATTCTACATGGCACAGAGTCCCTGCACTCCCTGCCCAAACCTACAGGCCAATAGCGAACAGCCAGGGACTGGAAAATCATCGGGAAATCCTTGATATTTCCTGTGAAAATGACACTCATTCAACTGAAAATTTTATATTTTTGAAAAAACCCAAAAAATCCAATAATGGTGGGTTTTATCAATTGAAAAAACCCGATAAACCCCACTGGGTTTTATAACCTGAGGAAAATCTATGCCAACCCTGATTCAACAACATAACAATAATATTTTATTTTTTATAAACCAAAAATTTGAATCAACATATTGATAATCGAGCTGATTATATATCTTTTGTGAAAAAAACGGCGCCTCCATATTCCTATTCCTCACATGCCTTTACCCAATAGTTATTTGTAAACCAAAGGGAGGGGAGTGTAGGTATAGTTCTCTCCTGCAGGTAAAATTCGATTAATTACCAAAGGGAGAAACGGAACTTTACTACTCCAAGGGAATATACCTACTTAAGTATATGATTTTTCATACGGCAAAATAATAGTAATTAATAATCTATACCTAATACCTGCATTAAACATGAGGAGATATATGATACCTATCGTTTTAAATTTTTTTATTAGTGTGCAAAGTGAAAATCAGTTTTCCATTTTTAATCATTAGCGGTATAAAATAATGGTCATCAACTTCAAGGAATTTTTTTTTTTAGCAAATGAAGGTAGGTAATTTATTTATTTGGAGCTAAAACTATGATCTACAGCAAAAAAACTTCTGCCTAGGAAGGAAAATAATTTACTTTCCTCCCTAAGGAGGCGAAATTACTATTTTCCTCCCTGAAAAGAATGTAAAAAATTGTCACTTTCTGACAAGGTCATAGGAATACGTGTCTTTCCTGCCTTGCCTATAGTGTGTGTTTTATAAGTAGGTATTCTACTCTATCCTTCAAAGTCAGGTTATTTTTTTATATATTTCCATTTTTACTCTCAAACAAATGCCAAGAACCAAGAATATCACCTTTACTTTAAATTGCTAAAGAAAGTAGCTATCTACATATTGCTATATTGATGTTACTTCAAGAAAATAATTAGAGTAACACCTCTGTTACTATAACCCCTATTAAAAATAACATTGTCATCATTGAACTGATGTTACTTAGAAAAAATAATTATAGTAACACCTCTGTTACTTTAGCCACGGCCTAAAAATAAATACTAATAATTCTAAGAAGTTTCACTTCTATTGTGACTTCACACCTAAGTATCTTTTTTGGATTTATCTTAGGATTTGTCCCACCATCACCATAAAACTCTCACATCACTTACATGTGTATTATATCTGGGGTGATTATAGAACTTCTCCAGCACCGAATAATTCCCATCGGCCAACTTAAACTGCTCAGTTCTGTTTTGGTAACTGTCGCCGTCATCATAAGAAATATAAACTGCGGAAGGGTTAATAGGCTGTAAATCGTAGAGCCCAAACGTCGGGTCTCGAGCAAGGCAAATCACCACTTTACTGTTTTCGCCCACCCAATGAACCATTAGCTGTTTGTGGCTGTCGTTCAAATGACTAATCTGGTGAATAAAAATAAAGCTTGGTTTTTCTATTTTGGAATGGAGCTTGGGCATAAATCCAAGAAAACGACTCACAATAATAAACAATAATTTCTTCTATTTATGACTACATGGCAGATAACAAGAAGCAATTACGCTTAATAAAAGTTGAATATCATCCCAGGAAGTAATTTAATGCATACTTAGAGGGGAAAAGGTCATTTATAAAAGCGACTCTAGAAAAAGCCAAGTCAACAAACTTATTTTTCTTATCGGTAAGTGAATAATAACAATAGCGGATAAAGAATGAGTAATACATGAATAATGGGTCACATGTTGAGTATTTTTGATAAAAAAAATTTGCGTCGTTATTTATTAGGGAAAGTTTCCAAACTGTTTCAGACAATTGATAAAGACTTTAAATAGCTTCTTGTTATCGAAATACATGAAAATTGCTTACCTTTGTATAAACTCCATCGTCAGTTAAACCGCTATCAGCTTCTTCATTGGTAGCCTCTCGTCTGTATCTTGCACCATTTTCAAAGTCGTTTTCTGGAAAATTAAACGTAAAAACGCGATTTTCCACAAGGTCCAAATTTCCAAACAAGCTGTGAGCCGACAAAAATGGCACGAATATCAACAGAAAGATTGGTTTGAAACGCATCTTGGTTTCCGGTGCACGTCAAGGTGAACCGTTTATGACGGGGTCACTAATACCGCTGAACAATGAAACGATTTCGAATTTTTAATTTAATTAATTGATAATTTTTATAGCACACAACAAAGGGAACAGCATTACAAACAAAAACACTTCGACGAATGAATGAACGAACGACGAACGACGTACGACGTTTCTATTTTTGATTAGTATTTTGAAGGAAACATTGCAGTTGTCAGAGTGGCGCCATCTGTGGTTACAAATAATTGTTTCATTTTCAAGAGAACTTCATGGTAGAATAATTGAAAGTTTCGTGATTTTATCATTGGAGCGAGCGACTGGTATTGTGGGGATGTGGGGATTTACAAGGTTCCTAAAGGTCATAGGTTGCCGTACTTAACCTGATGACGCTGCTGGGGTGCCTTCTGTAGATTTGCATTATGTTGAGGTTCCCCAGATAACGTCATAAGGTTATCAACCTACCTCTCTCAAAAAACCTTGGGGAATTTATTTCTCTTTCAAATAAAGGCCGGCGTGTTTATGCAACGATAATAACACAGCATATACAAAAACAATCAGCAGGCTAACTTGAGTGACAGCCCGTGTAATAAAGGAATTCATGGTCGGGATGTCACTAGCGGCCATTTTGGGATACGAGACAGGACCTGATTAACAATAATTTAGGTTTTTTCTTTCGGGTCACAGAGTCGTATGGGCTTTAAATAAACCAATTTAATATTACTTACATATAATAATATATATCCTTACTAATTTATTATTATTTTTAAACATACCAGAATGATAACTGATAACACCATAAATGACATAACACGAATATACTTAAATCACTTTGAAAATCATAACTAAAATTCCGCTCTACACCGCACGCCTATGACCTCCGTCAGAAATAAACAAATAAATTAAAATGTCGGCGTCCCTGCCGATTAATGACAGGATGATATCCCCTAATGGCGGCATGTGCAGAAAAGATGCGCGTGAGAGTTAGCCTGCTGATTGTTTTAGTATATGCTGTGATAAATAGACTACTACACAGGATTGTTTATCGGCCTCGTTTTTACTGTGTATCATCATTAACGACGTTATCAACCAAGGATAATACACACTACTACCGAATTTGGGGTGAAGTCGGACGATTTTTGCAGTTTTTTGTTAATAAAATCTACAATTAAAAGAAAAAAATCCTAAAAAAATTATTAAGAATCTTCCATTTCTCCGTTATCAAATTACTTACTAAAAGTAATGACATTTGTATGCCCCCCTTTTTTTTTAGGTAAGTTGTGTGTCCGCCATCACCCCTATGTGTGGAGTAAAGGCGGACGACCATTAATTAAGCATAACAAAGTGTCTGCCCCTAGTCTAGTACGGGGTGCAGTCGGACAGAAAAAAAAAATATATATATTTATAGCAAAATATTAGGTAAAAAAAAAACTCCAAACGTGCAAACGCCATGATTCTTCATTCTTATTCCCTTTTTCTTGTCATGTAAGGTGGATTTGGGAACCCCATAATACTCAGCAGCTTGTCTATACTTTTTCTGCCTCCTCAAAGGGCCCCATACACTACGATGAAACACGACGGTTTTCACCGCCACGTCGTTCCAAAACCGAAGTGTGTGGTAGAAAACCGTTCGTGTGTACGAAATGTAGAACCGTCGTGCCAAAAATCAAGCTCGGACTGAATTTTAAACCGACGATGAAACACGACGGTTTTCTACCACACACTTCGGTTTTGGAACGACGTGTTTAATCGTGGCGATGAAAACCGTCGTGTTTCATCGTAGTGTGTGGGGCCCTGTAGAAAACCGTCGTGTTTTTCTGTTACACACTTCGGTTTTAGAACGACGTGTTTCATCGTGGCGAGGAAAACCGTCGTGTTTCATCGTAGTGTATGGGGCCCTTATTCACCTTTATATTATAAAATGAGTACATTTCTTGAACATTGAACTACCTGTATCTCGCAAACTAGTCATAGGATCAAGTTCGGCCAATGCTAAGAATTGATCAGAAAGGCCAAATTTATATCACACTAGAATTTGGTTAAATTTGGCGGAAGTCCCAAATCCCATAAGAGGTGTGTTTTTTTTTTTCTGTTGTCTACATTGTCTTAGGTCCGTTTCACCAGTCACCAGGGTTCATACTTGACCTTGAAACTTGAAAAAAAAGGGTTGTCCTAGATTAATTCATATGACACATTCAATTTTTTGACAAATTAAAATGAATGACTTCTGGTTCAAGAACCGACGAACGTTTTTGACGTCATTGATTTGTTCCAGTCAATTTTCATTTGTTAAACAAGGAAGGCAAATGCTGGTGGCAATTACAAACCCTGGCGAAACAAACTTTACATAGTTTACATAGTCTACATGGAAAAAGTGGATGTAAACAATTAGGCAATCCAACGACCTGTCCAAATGGCGTCTGGTTGGCAAATAATAAACAAAAAACATATGTTTTTATTTTGACGAGATTAAGCCTAGTACTCATAACCGCGAAATTCTCTTTTTTTTGACGTTTGATTCACACATAAAACGTCAAATTGTCGAAGCAATGTCAAAAAACAGCGAATTTCGCTGTTATGAGTACTAGAGCCGCATTCTTTCGGACCGAATCAGTTGATCAAAACGCGTTATGTTCCAGTGATCACGTTCTTTCGCATTTTGGCAAATGACAGTTAACGAATCATGATCCGAGAAAGTCTGAACATATTGAAAATTTTTTGTTTGTGATTAGTTTGTTCCGATCGCGAAAATCTAACCTCAACTTTCAAATTATTTCTTGTTTACTTTTTGCGCTTTCTGCAATAATATATAATATAAATTTTGTAAGCTCGTCCATTACTATAAGCACAGAAAAACAAACGTAGCAAATCAAAAAACTGCAAAATATAATAATAACCAACTCAAAAAATAGAGAATAGAGGAAAAGCACCAGCTGGCAGTGACACATCAGTGACAGCGTTTTTTCGGACTAATAAATGAAACATGTTCCATCTGAACGAACGGATCAGGATCTCGGAATCATGATTCAAATATTTTGCGAAAGAATGCGGCTTAGGTTTTATCAATACTGACATCGTTGACATGTAACAACCCGTACTCTAACCTCATAAAAATTTCAAAATGCCGGCTGGTTGGCAAAAGTCACTTGGTTTGGATTCCCTAATACGTAGACAACGAGTAGACAAACCGTGTAAAGTAGATTTCATAGTCTACGGCACATCCCTGGTATATAGTATATTACATCTTTGTCCGCTAGGAGTTTTCACTTATTGGCTTTAGCGTTTTAAGCCTTTGAAATGAACAACTAAACTACTGGACAAATGAAGCGGAACAAGCGAATTTTTAGGTTAACTTTAAAATCCAATATTACGCGAACTAGAAAAGATATTAATGAGCGGTTTGCGAAAATTAAGTCCTAAATTACGCAAATCACTCATTGATATCCTCCTTAGTTCGCATAATATTGGAATCCAATCCAAAGTTAAACTAAAAATTCGCTTGTTCCGTTTCATTTGTCCAGCAGTTTAATTTTAGTACATATTGACATTCTAAAACAACGTTTTTGTAGATCTCGTTTGCATCTTTTTCTTTGCCTATTATTGCCATAATAAGGGCTGGTTTCTCAATAGCGAGTCGCCTCCGGGTTGACTTTAACTCCAGGTAAACGTATCTAGCTGCAATAGTTGTATTCCTTTCAAGAGCTTGAAACACTCGAGCTACTCGCTTCGGTGCTTGGTCGCCCCCGATTTGCAGGGAACTTAATATGCGTGGTGCAACAAACACTTTTCGAAAGGAATAAGCGCTTGAAGCCCAGTTCCGGAGCTCCTCCTAGGTGTGAAAGGAATACAACTAATGCTGCAATGTTTAACCCGGGGCTGACTATTGCTATTAAGAAACCGGCTCATTAATGTATATTCTAAACTACGATTGCTGGTGCAAACAGCTGACGACGTACTTGATGACGTTGTCAATGGTGCAATACAAAATAGCAGCGTATCCCGAAAACGAGGCCAATAAGCAATCCTGTGTAGTAGTGTGTATATTACTCTTGAGTTGTTAGTGTTTTTAATAGCTTTCTAGAGCAGTAGTAGATTTTTTTTCTTGTTGGTTTGCTTTGCGCATGTCTGAGCTCCAATCCAAGTAGGCTTTGTATATTCCCTAACTGGCAATAAGCGGCCATCTTGTCGTCGTGTGTGGCAAGTGTCATCGGTTTTTCGCGAAATTTTGTAGTTTTTCGATCAATTTTAATGCAATTAAAAGTGTTCCTCGGGGTGTTTTGCGTTCCACTGGACCATTAAAGCAAATATCACAATTAGGCTCTTCTGCAATTCTGCATGAGTTCTATTAATGGCAAATTGTTCAACTAAGGGCCGGTTTCTCAATAGCGAGTCACCTCCGGGTTGGTTTTTAACTCCAGGGTGAGCGTGTCCAGTTGCTATGTTTACCCCGGAGTTATGCTTAACCCGGGGGTGACTCGCTATTGAGAAACCGGCCCTTAAGAGCCAATTAGAAGCTGCGGAAGAAGAAATTTTGATTAATATCAACTTAAGTGCTACCAATGATCATTCGAAATATTGATTATTACCGGCTCTTGAGCTTTGAATGCCCTTAGAACAATTCTCTTGCGAATAGAGTTATACAAGTTCAAATTTTGACTATAATCGGCTTTTGATTGGCTCTAGGAAATTTCTCCAGAGAATCACGAGCCGGTAATAGTTCAAATTTTGATTATCTGTATCTCCTTTTATCCATTAAATAATTTTTCTGGAGCAACTAAATACCGAACATCCATATTGGATGCTGTGCTGTGACAAAATGGAAAGATCATGCAGTTTATGCTGACTTATGGAATGGAATTTCTCTCACATATCTCTGGTTCAACCAACCGAACAATTCATAAAGCGTTTTACCAACGTTTGTATCCGGTAAACGCGCTTATTACGTTTATTGATGGCAAGGATAATACACATACTACACAAGATTACTTATCGGTCTCGATTTTAGGAATCGCTGCCATATTGTATAGCACCATTGACGACGTCATCAACTACGTCGTCGCGATCATAACCTTTGGTACAAACACAAGTCAAATGTCAAGGCGAGAAACGATTTAATATGGTGCGTAAGGTCCAGCTACTGACACTTTTTACCCTGACCCGTCATTAATATCGCACTTTTTACACCATTCGTACCGTTAAGCGTTCCATATTCCTGGTGCAGTTTAAATGGTTTCCAACTATTTATACTCAACCGAAATTTCAAGACTTTTCTAATATGCGATCATTTGAATAATAACTGCAAATAACTGCACCGCATCAACGCTAACCGGTTCAGACAAATCGTACGTACCATTTGTAGTGTGTAGTTGAATAAGTAGTGTTTTTAATAGCTTTCAAGAGCAGCGGTAGAATTTTTTTCCTTATTGGCTGGCTCTGCCCATGTTTGTGTTTCAATCCAAGTAAACTTTGTAAATCCCTCGACTGGCTGCCATCTTGTCGACACAAGTTCATGTCGTATGTTGTGTGTGCCCAAGGATAATACACACTGTAGATTGCTTATCGGCCTCGTTTTTGTTAATCACCGCCTATAGGTGTATGACCATTGCCGACGTCATTAACTAATAAGTCGTCAGCTGTTTGCGCCAGTGATCGTAGTTTAGAATTTGAATTTATGAAGAAAAAATATTATTTAATTTTGATTAATATCATAGGCAAAGACAAAGACGCAAACGAAACCTAATAAGAAGTTGTTTTAGAATGTTAAATAATGTAGTAAAACCAAGTACAGTGTGAAGTGAAACTTCCAACTCGAATCTTCAAGGGACAGGAAGTCGAGTTCGAGTTACAGAAAATTCGATTTATGGAAAAATACACAAAATTGAGGATTTTTGAATCTGTATTGGGTCTGTTTCTGCAAAAATCGCAAACCAGTCACAGCGAATTTCATTGATTGAAAACAGTCAGAAACAGTCAGAAAACTAGTTTCAACCAATGAAATTCACTCTGACTGGTATTATGTATGTATTACAAAAAAGTAGTTACATATAGGTACCATCGTCACCAAAAGTAACTGGGACAGCATCACATTAGCTCTTGTCCTATTACATGAATTTTATTGTCAAATATTTGTCAAACTATAATTCAAATGCATTGAAATGAGTGACAGTAGAATTAGTCCAGGAGATTATTATGCATTATTTGTGTCCCAGATACTTTTGGTGACGATGGTACATTATACAGGGTGTCACGAAAGGTTTGTTACAAACTTCTAGGGATGGTAGATCTAGTAAAAATAAAACTTTTTTCTTAATAAACATGTGTCCGGAAATGCTTCGTTTTCCAGATATACAGGGTGGCCCAAATTTGAACCTCATCATTGGGATCTCGGTAACCGTAAGAGATACGGGGTCGGTAAACTAATTTTACATTCCCATTGTCACTTTTACTTCTCTACAAGATGGCGGTATTAAATTTGAGATCCGACGTTTTTCAAATACGGACCTGCTTTTTTACCGTATTATTGAAAAATTATAAACAGTATCGGTTTTAGGATGCCCAAAGATGACAAAATCGCAAATAAAAAAATCTAGGTTCGTATTTAAAAAACGTAAGTTAAGGATGGCCGCCTGAAGACGAAAGGTCGAATTTCAAATTTAGTACCACCATCTTCTAAAGGGGAAGAAGTGACAATGATGAAGTGACAATTATTTTAAAATTGCTTTTCAAATAAGCCCGGGAAAAAAAAAACGATTTTTCAAAATTTTGGTTTTTTCCGAATATCTCCGAAAGTATTCGGAATCTTTCTAGTTTCAAAACGGTATTCTATTGGTCATAAAATTGACAACTTTGCTATACTTTAACCGACCCTGTATCTCCTACGGTTACCGAGATCCCAATGATGAGGCCTGTATATCTGGAAAACGAAGCATTTCCGGACACATGTTTATCAAGAATTTTTTTTTTTTTTTACGAGATCTACCATCCCTAGAAGTTTGTAACAAACCTTTCGTGACACCCTGTTTAAACCAAGACAAATCTATCTGTCGCCGCTGGTAACTGAGAATCGGTAATTTCCCCAAGTTCCAATGCCACTCAATTTTAGGTCCAGTTTTAGAAATATTCGAGTTATAGTGATTAGAAATTCGACTTATGGGGACAAAAATACATAGTGAGGTTGTAAAAACCTATTTGTTTGTGAAGAAAATTCGATTTAGAGAACATTTCTACTTCGGCAAGTTCGAGTTAGAGAAGTTCCACTGTATGTATAAAGGAAAATCCCGCGGAATCATAACCTGTGATGCAAGCACCCTACGTCAAGGCAAGAAACGACACGCTGCCTACGTCATGACTTGCTCTTTGGCATGGTGGGGGGCTTGAGATTGGATTTATAGCAGGCCTTATAAGGATATAGCAACTGGCGGCCATCTTGTCGACACAACTTCATGTTGTATCGTATGTCGCGTATGCCCAACAATTGTGCCTAAGGACTAAATTATGGACTGACTGGTAAACGTCGGGTTGTTACCTAGTAGGTACTTTCTATGCACAAGAGAATAGAAAGTACCTGCTAGGTAACAACCAGACACTTACCAGTTGGTCCATAATTTGGCCCTAAGGATATTACACACTACTAAGGATTGCTTATCGGTTTCGTTTTTGGTAATCGACACCATATTGGTTTTCCACTGTTTTCAACCATTGCCGACGTCATAACTAAGCCGTCAGCTGTTTAAACAGCCTACATCAAGGCAAGAAACGCTATGCTGTTTACGTCACAACTGGTTGTTTGGCGTTGGGGGGAAGGAGGGGATTTGTTACACACAGGTCTTATGAGGATAGGCCATCCTGTAGTAGTAGTGTGTGTATCATCCTTGGTCTCCACTGACCATTTTTTAGGGAGGTTTAACGATATTTAACACTTAAAGTGACATTTTTACATGTACTAATGTCACTTTGAACGTTGATTATCGTTAAACCACAGCATATACAAAAACAATCAGCAGGCTAACTGGAGTGACAGCCCGTGTAATAAAGGAATTCATCGTCGAAATGTCACTAGCGGCCATTTTGGGATACGAAACAGGGCCTGATTAACGATAATTTAAGTTTTTTCTTTCCTGTCACAGAGTCGTATTGGCTTTAAATAAACTAATTTATTATTACTTACATAGTTACGTATAATACTATTTATAATTACTTATTTATTATTATTTTTATTAGATATACAACAAGGATAACAGATAACACTAGAAATGACAACACGAATATACTAAAGTCACTTCGAAAATCATAACTAAAATTCCGCTCCACGCCTATGACCTCCGTCAGAAATAAAGAAATAGAATAAAATTTCGGCGCCCCTGCCGTTCAATGACAGGATGGTATCCCCTAATGGCGGCGTGCGCAGGAAAGATGCGCGTGAAAGTTAGCCTGATGCTGTGGTTAAACTTCTCCTAGAATGGTCGGTGCAAACGGACATTGAAATGTTAATCAATGTAGTGAAACCAAGTATGCATAAAGCAATAGCCCGCGGAATGATAACCTGTGGTGCAAACAGCCTACGTCAAGGCGAGAAACGATATGCTGCCTACGTCAAAACTGGTGATTTGACATATGGGGGTTTCCAGATTTGTTTTACACAGGCCTTATGAGGATGGGCTATCCTGTAGTAGTAGTGTGTATTACTCTTGCATTCTCTACAGTTTTAGTTTATAGACACGATATTGATTACTATTTATGGAGTATTTATCTCTGGTCAAAGAAAAATTTAATGTTTATCAATAGGAAAGGTTACAGTCAATAGAAAAAATCAGATTAACGTGCGGACAAAAAATTTGGTGGTTTTTGCTCTGCTCGGAAAAATAAAGCTAAATTCAACGTTATCAAATAAGGGAGATCTCATTGTTAGGTCATTGGGGAGATCAATATTGAAATTATTGACATTGTGGCGAACTTTCCCAGAGGTTAAAATTTAAATTTTTTAATACAATTCGGCGCTTGCACCAGACAACATGTAGAGATCGCGCCACATAGATTTGTTGAAAATTTAGTCAAATTGAAATGATATAATTTTGAAACTAATTCAATCCAATCTAGGTATTTGCTTTTATTCTTTAATCCAGTCAATTTGACTAATTTGAGGTATACCTACACCAACCAAAATCCAATGATTAATCTTCAATTTTCAAGCATTTATCATTATCATTGGTCATTAACCGTGACTCGACGTGCCGCAAAAAAAATAACGAGCCATTAAATTCTAATCATTACATGCACTGCACAATCCCGTACTTATTTGAAATCCTTCTAGTGCTTCGAACAGGTGAACAAACACGAAACAGGTAATCAGCGGAGTGGTCTGCACGAAGAAGTAGAGTATGGCGAGGAGGGGAAGGCAAAAACCACTTGCCCATGTTGAAATGTGAATACCTTCTTCTTCGATAGCGTTTCATTTGGTTTTTCAGCGGTTTTCAACCGCGTCGCGTCCGGTTTGGACGATTTTATTGACCTTGTATACATAGCGTAAAATGTGTTTTGTGTAATTCGCGTACGTTGCCCTGGGATTTTTCTAAGGGGGTGGATTATTTTGTTTTATTGACGAAACAAACGCACAAATCAACCACGAGGGGATGTTAAAAGTGAACTTTTGTGTATTGGATTATTAAACAGAAAGGTATAAGCTAATTTATTCAAGTTTTCTCTTAATTTTTCGAATCATTTTTAAGTTGTTTCGAACTTGTTTTTGAACTTATGAAGCGTACGATAATATAATATAGACCATCATATGTTAGCTTAAACTGGATAAAAACGTTTAAAGCTCGGTTTACAGGGACTCTTATAATCAAAGTTTCTCTTTACTGACTGGCTACAAACCAACAACTAATTGCCAAACATGATCTTCACAAGAATGTATCTTCCTCTACTCGATATAAAATAAGGCAACGCATTCAAACTCAATCTTTGACTCATCTAGCTTCAAATTTTTTTTAAATTATAAATTCCAGTAAATTAACCCACTGTTGTTAATTGTGTGTGCTTTAAATTTCTCTCTGATGAACTGATGGCTAATTCCGAGCTACTCCAATTCATTAAAACGGACAATATATTAACTTAAGAGTGAACTTATTTTTCTTGATTAAAATGTGTGTTGAACGCGCACGATGCTTTTCCAGTTGGAGCTTTCGTGTTTTCTATTGTCTTTGAGCCAGTTTGGGAGTGCGTGAACAAAATCCTCTATATCTTTCTCTTTTAATAGCAAGCATGATTATTCTCTCCTCAATTTGATCGAATTAGACGTCCTTAATTGGAGCAGTTAGAGTACAAATTAGATCATCGCATTGATGTAATATGACTCTCTTGCTTTGTTCTAAAACTATTCTGAAATGTTTCAAACTACATTTGAGTTACAAAGTTCATTAAAGTACTTTAAGCTCCAACGACTTCAATAAAAAAAAAAATCAAAAAACAGGTTCTGGTTAGTCCAATAATATCATATTTCTAAATTTGCAGCTGCAGCATTCCTGCGACTACATTCCGAAAAGTGTTGCGTTACAACTTTGTTAGGAATTGCACACACCCAGGGTGGTACCAAAATAAAGCAGTTACCGGTTATCGAGAATAGCTATACTTTCTTTGACAGATTATTGACTAAAAAGGAGAAAGTACCTACCGTGTGCAATAAAACAAGTGTTCCACTCTCCATCGCATACGCACCAATTTATTGTTTATTTGCTAATTAGTACCGCGTTGCCAAATTTTTTGGCCGATCGGCCCAGACAGAGTGGTACCCATGTACCATCGGATAGTCATATGACTCACTTTCCCTAAAAAAAAGATAAATAAATAAAAAGAAAGCCTTCGGTTTATTCCTTCGAGGTATTTGGTACGCCACTGACCCACTTTTCAGTAGAGTATAATACCATATAAGCCATGTGTTACCGAGAAACAGGGAAAGTAAAAATTTTCACTTGTTTTTCCTCGTAAATATTGATATGGTCTTAGGATCAATCTAAGAATTTTCACTTTATACCTATTTGTTTTCTTTCTTTGTCAAGTTTTTGTTTCGGAATGTAGTCGTCGCTCTCTCTCTCTTTGCGTCATTCCATTTAATATTACCTTTTTATCATTCGAATTACGTATTGCATCTATTATTTTCCGACTTAATAAACTTAATTTGTTGGTTTCATTTCTGTGTTTCATTTTGGGGAAAATGCGCATATTGACCTCTGGTTTTCCGTCTCCAACTCTTTAAAAGCTAGAGCAAGTGGGCCCTTAACCACATTAATCCTAAGGGTGGCGCCCGAGTTTTCCGAAATCAACCGCTTTCTCACCGGAAAACCAAAGTAGCGCTACAAATTTGGCGATTGAGTATAAATTTTCGAGAAATATACAGAGTGATTTACATAGTCCGTGCATTAGCTTGCAGGTAGATTAGAGGCTATTTCTACTAATCCACCTGCAAACTAAATAACTTCCAATGCACAGGCTACATAAATCACGGTGTATATATGGAGTTTCGAAAACAATAAGGATTATTTTAAAGCCACAACTTATTTATAGTAATGGAAGCGAGGGAAAGAAACTTTCTTATTTTAAAACTACAACATCATCCTTATTACCTAATTACATATTGAACTTATACATTTCAGCGCATTCATCATGTTAGCCATGATGGAATATGGTACCATAAAATATGCAAGCTCCACGATGTCTTCAGAAACTTTGAGTGAAAGTTGCGGTAGTCGCAATAATCGCATCAGGACTGTGAGATTGGTGAGACCCAGTCACGGACCATCGCCAGGACTCTGCTACAGACACGGACCCTCGTTGGGGTTCAGCATCAGAGGCGGACGCGAGCACGGCACTGGGATTTTCGTGTCTCAAGTTCAGGCGGGATCCGAGGCTCATACAGCAGGACTGAGGGTAAATATTCGTCTCAACTTTTTTCTCATCATGTTTAATAATAAATAATTGTGACTTGTAAAGATTAAAAATCTAGCCGCATTATATGCATTATGAAGTATCAACTCTCTATGTTATAAGAAGCTTCAAAAACTCTGTTTTCGTTTCTCATGAGTTGAGATTATCCTTGGGTGAAGGTAACCACAACATCAAGTAAAAATTTTTGCTGTTTTTGCTAAATCTCAAACTTCTAGATCAGTGAAAAGTAAAGGGTGTCTATATAGTGCAGTCAATCTAGCCAGGTTTATGCAGGTGAGGTAGAAAAAATTAGTAACAAAGTGATCTCTACGTAAATGAGTAGTCAATAGGGTCCTAATTAATCCCTCAAAAATCGCACTTTGTCGCATTGGTGGAACTTGGAAAAAAATAGCCGCCATCTTGATTTTTTTCGAATTTATTGAATATTTCGGAAAGTATACATTATATCAAAAAAACTCAGGATATCTTTTTTGTAGAGAATGAAAAGTTACTTATATTAAAGGAAATTTCATTGCTTTTAGCATGAAAACAAAAAAGTTATTGGAATTTAATTTATTTAAAAATCTAGACATTTTTGAACTTTAGTTAAAATCGCGAAATGTATGCATTTTTCTAATAAAATTCAAGAATGCCTTTTAGTATAGGTTTAAAGATACCTATATTGAAATAATAAAAAAAAAAACATCAGTAATTATTGAAAAGTTTGGTGTCAAAGGTTTAAAGCATGGTTTCCAGTGCTTACTTGGTGCTCGACTTGGTGTCTATCCAAACAGTACACGGACATCTTAAAGACGTCCTTAAGATATCCACAAACGACATTCAAGACGTCTTTTAGACGTCTGCTTACGTCTTCAAGGCTGCACAAAAAAAAACATACTTATCTGAGTTTTTTTTAGATGTTTTTAAAAATTCCATGTTGCCAAATGAAATAAATGTCAATAACTTTCTCGTTTTTCAGCTGATATTCTTGAAATTTCTTTCAATATAGGTAACTTTTGATTTTCCACAAAAAAGTTCTCTTGAGTTTTTTTGATATAATGCATACTTTACGAAATATTCAATAAATTCCAAAAAAATCAAGATGGCGGCCATTTTTTTCCAAGTTCCACCAATGCGACAAAATGCGATTTTTGAGGGATTAATAAGGACCCTATTGACTACTCATTTCCGCAGAGATAACTTTGTTACTAATTTTTTCTACCCCAACCACCTATTTTGACTAGCCTAATACTGTGCAGGCAAAGTCTAGAGTGTTTATGGTTCATTCAATCTATTCAACAATGGAATATGTAGTTTTCAAACGTCTATTAAATTTAATTAAATTAATTGCAAATACACACAATAGAAACGGAAAGTGAAACATAACAAAAGAAGATTCTTTTCCCAGGCAAAATAAAAAAACAAATTCAATAAATTAAAACAATTGCATTTTTTTTTCTGTTTATACTTTCAACTATTTAGCAACGTTGTGGTTGTCTAGAACTCCGTTCTCAAGCCGAAAATCCGTTGCAAAAAGGCACGAAAACAAGTTTCATAACGGATATTAATTATTATTAGGTATTACGGTTCATTTGACATCTCTTTCTATCTCATTATGGCAGGTAGGCGATCAAATAATCCGCATCAACGGGTTCGCCATAGACGACGCAGTTCACAAGGAAGTCCTCCAGTTAATTTCAAATCATTCTCATCTTATACTGAAAGTCAGAGGTAAGAAGGACAACATTAACCTTTCATTATTTTTCTGCCATATTGTATTAATAGTGCTGGACTTTTAAAGTAAATTTCACTTTTACGCGCCCATCAAATTCAATAGTTTGTTATTTGATATGCTCGTTTCACTTTTATCAAGAAAGAAACAAGAGGCATTTTTTTCTAGAGCAATATCTTCGTAAAATTTACTGATAAACTGATTCATGGCCTGCTAGTTTTAAAAATACGTGTCCAACCTACAAGTAGGTACCTGAGTAATTATCTTCATAGTGACTACGCAGTATAGCTAATAAATCCTAGAAGTTACCCAGTGTGTTTTCTTCAGGTAGTCAGAAATACACTGACATCTGATGTCACTTTTATTTTTATTTTTTAAATCGCTGGTACACGTAATTTGAAACATTTTTCAACACTAACTTAACCCTTTAGGGGGGGAGGGACCAACCTTTACTATTCCAAATGGAACAGGGGCTCGAGTGATACCTGTTTTAAAAGAGCGTTCAATTTCTTTTCAAATGAAAGAGAATTGAACGCTCTTTCAAAAGAGGTATCACTCGACCCCTTTTTCCATTTGCAATAAAAGGGATGGTCCCACCCGCCTAAAGTGTTGAAGTTGAATTGCTAAAAATGGTTGCAAAAACTTTCCCCTTTGAAAATCAATAATTCTATTGGTCGGCGGATAAGTGGCCGACTAATGGGATGGCAAATTGCCTTTTTATCCGTCAAATTGCATACCTACCTGACAGTTTATCAGAAGGTGAATAAACCGGCACTTAGAGCCGAATTGATTGTCGTTCCTTGAATCTTCCTTGGAGTCGCAAGTTTAGAATGGACACTTACTATTATTTGACAAGTTAGTCGTCAATTCTAAACGTTCAAGGCTTCCTTAAGGTCTAAGGTAACCTCAAGGACCGACTATAAAGGACCCTGCCCAAAATATACGGAGATTGTGTTTATGTCAGAATTGGCTAAATTTTGTATGTAATGTAGATCACGCCTTCCTGATTAAAAGTTACCATTGCACCGATCCTGAAAAATGATTCCTTTTTGAGAAAATTAATTTCATAGGTAGCAAGTAAAACGCTTGGACATTGTAATGAACGTACATACAAATAAGTGGATTATTGCGGAACTTATGGGTGGACCTCTGCGGGACGAGCGCAGCGAGTTCCGCAGCCATCTACTCACCAATATACTGTTGAATTGTTCAAATAAATCTGAAACGTGTAGATTTTGAACTAATGAGAAAAATTCACAACTAAGTAAATCAGGTTAGTATTTGAACAACATATTGGTGAATAGATGGCTGGGTCCACCTATAAGTTCCGCAACAATCCACTTGAATAACTTGTCACAATATATTATTATAGTTTGGTAAAGTAACATTACTAATTCCTGTTAAAAGGCAAATTAACAAAAAGTGGATAATCTTACAAATTCTGAGTTTATATAATAAATTATTGTTGAAGTACAAATAAGTGGATTGTTGCGGCACTTATGGGTGGACCTCTGCGGGACGAGCGTAGCGAGTTCCGCAGCCATCTAATTACTAATATACTGTTGAATTGTTCAAGTAAGACATTCACCTGCAACGTTTTAAACTAATGAGAATAACGCACATTTGAGTGAGTCAGTTTAGTATCGTAATTAAACAACATATTGATGAATAGATGGCTGCGGAACTCGCTGCGCTCGTCCCGCAGAGGTCCACCCATAAGTTCCGCAACAATTCACTCATTTGTACTTGAATAACTTGTCACATTATGCTACTAGTTTGGTAAAGTAACATTACTTATTCTTGTTGAAAGGCAAATTGGCAAAAAGTGATTATTCATAATCTTACAAATTTTGACCTTATATAATAAGTTATTGTTCAAGTACAAATAAGTGGATTATTGCGGAACTTATGTGTGGACTTCTGTGGGACGAGCGCAGCGAGTTCCGCAGCCATCTACTCACGAATATATTGTTGAACTATTCAAATAAGACACTCACTTGAAACTTATAGATTTTGAATTAATGAGAATAACTGACATTTGAGTGAGTCAGGTTAGTATCGTACTTGAACAACATATTAATGAATAGATTACCAGAGGTCCACCCATAAATTCCGCAACAATCCACTCGTTTGAACTTAAATAACTTGTCACAATATATTACTATTTTGGTAAAATAACATTACTGATTCCTGTTGAAAGGCAAATTGACAAAAAGTGAATAATCTTACAAATTCTGATTTGATATAATAAGTTATTGTTCAAGTACATACAATGTAACACAAATAAGTAAACTTCGTTAACCAGTTAGAAACAACTACTGCGAGGGCAAATACCCCTACCGGTGTTGAACTACACTGATTGGTCTGAGCTTTCGTTGGCAATGAAAATTGTTATAAAGTTTTTTTTCAGGTAATGACCAACATGAATTCAGGGATACGACGGTCCCTGTTTGGGAATCGACCCACTGAGCAGTGGACTCAGGCTTCCTGTGCCAATCCTTGACGCGTTTCGTCCTTGTTAGGACTCATCAGAAGGACAAAGGTTGAAGCTCCTTGTCCAAGCAAAATTGAACCCCGTTGACCAGTCAGAAACAACTACTCCGAGGGCAAAGCCTGCGGGAAGGCTGAGTCCACTGCTCAGTGGGTCGATTCCCAAACAGGGACCATTGTGTCCCTGAATTCACGTTGGTTGTTACCTGAAAAAACTTTCTAACAAATAAGTAAGATTGTGGCGCAGTGGTGTGCTACGCCTAGTAATTTTTCAGGATTGGTGCAATGGTAACTTTTAATCAGAAAGGCGTGATCTACATTACCTACAAAATTTAGCCAATTCTGACATAAACACAATTTCCGTATACTTTGGGCAGGGTCCTTTAATTGGCCCTCAATAATATCAATTTTATTAAAAAAGAATCAAGAATCCCTATACCTATATGAGAAAATCAATATTTTTCTTTTTTTTTTGTTTAGGAGTAGGAATGATCCCAGTTAAAAAGTAAGTTGGCATTAAACAGATCACAATCTTAATCTAACTATTCACCTTTATTTAGTAAAATTTCTGACGGATTGAGTTGGCAAATAATCAGCGCAGACACGGAATCGCCTCTATTACAAGAATCCCCTCAATTGAATGACAAAAATGACGTTAGAATCAACATTTTGGTGGCTCCGAAGAGCAAACTCGGATGCGGGTAATTTAAGTCGAGTTCGGTTAATTCTCAGCGAGCAAAAAGATGACAGGCCCACATGATCAGTTTTGAAACTTCTAATCAAAGATCACATAAGCTTCTGCCAACAGTCATTTTTCAGTTCGTGGAGTATTAACCAAACTCGACTTTGATTGGTTCGAACCATCGGTCTTTAAACCGTTAGAGAAATTACAATGTCACAAAAGCTTTGTTATAAGCATGAGAAAAAGACGCGTCTCATTCTAGAGCCAGATAAGTTTCACAGCAAATGGCATTAAATGATCGATGGTTAGAACTATAGCGCAGATCACCTAAATACAGATGCGTATAAGCATATAAGTATCCTTGTCGTCGACGATTCAAAGCTACGAAACCACGGCTGCCGGCTCCCTTATCGCTAATGCGGCCAATCATTTATAGTGCATAAGCGTGTTTCAGCCTGTTGTGTTTACATATAACCTTGAACCAGGTGCGCCCGCAGAAAAATATGTTAAAGGGGGGTCAAAATCAATTGAATAAATTATTTATGGGTAAAAAAGGGCACTTCAGTCTAAATTATCATTTTAGAAGCAGAATCAGAATTTTAAATGCAACATTTGCAAAGCAAAATTTAAAAAAAAAGGCAGTTTGAAGAGACACAAACTAACACACTTGGACGAGAAGAGTTTTAAATGCAACATATGCAATGCAAAATTTAAAGAAAAATTTAAATTAGGAAAAAATTAAACAAAAAGGTAATTTGAAAAGTCACATATCAACAGACTTCGATAGTTTTTATCTTTTTGAATGTGACATTTGCAAAGCAAAATTCAAAGGAAAACACTGTTTAAAGAGACACAAACTAACACAGTCTGATATTTATCCTTTTAAATGTGACACATGCAATGCAAAATTTGCACACAAATGTAGTTTGAGAAGCCACATATTAACACACTCGGATGAGGAGAATTCCAAATGTAACATTTGCAATGCAAAATTGAAAAGAGAAGGCGATTTGAAGGAACACATATTGATACACTGGTATTTATCCATTTGAATGTGACACTTGCAAGGCAAAATTTGAAGAAAAGTAATTTACAAAGGCACATTTCGACACAATCGGATATTTATCCTTTTGAATGTGACACTTGCAAATCAAAATTTAAATGGAAAGCCGATTTAAAGATTCACAAACTAACACATTCGGATATTATATCTATTTGAATGTGACACTTGCAATGCAAAATTTAAGCAAAAACATAATTTGAAAAGCCACATGTTAACACACAGATTGTTTATTATTTGATTCACTTAATAGTGACATGTGTTTAGCTCCGGGATCCTTGAACTCAGCTACAAAATTCACCAGTTCCGGAATAAGGAAAGGGTGACAATTTATCTTTATGCAAATCGGTACACTGAGATATAGATATTAAATCAACTTATTTACTTCTTATAAATAGCTAAAATCTCAGGCATGGTAGAGGAAGATTCAAAACTTAGGCTTATGCATTAAATATAAAAAAAAAGATTCAGAAATCGGTAAATCGTTACATAATTGTTTCGGAATGATGTTTTTGGAGAATCAAGAAGTTAGAGATTTCTTTGTTTTCGAGTTGTTAGCTATTCAGCCGAATCACGTTAAATTTTCAGATTATCTCATCGACACATGGCACATGCCTCGATAGACCTGGATAAGAAAACAAATGCCTGTGAATCTTTCCATAGTCATTTTGGTAGATCTTTTTATTTTGCGCATCAAAATACATATTTACACTTTTTTAGATTTATTAACTCATATGCAATGCTGAATCTGTCAACATCATAAGGTAAGTTTTATGGGAAGTAGGTTGGGTTTCATGATTTGGTCGAATTCAAAGGTAGGATTACTGCAGCTACCTGGTTTGTGGCCGAATTCAAGTATGCCCGTTTCGCTCATACGAGCATCATCGGACCTACAATATAATACATATAGAAAATAATTAAAGTATAAGAAATTTCCAGGGGGGGTCGAGTGACCCCCCCTGACCCTACCTGTGGGCGCCCTTGCCTTGAACCACGAATTCACCGCTCTTTCGCATCTGTATGTAGGTGATCTGTGACTATAGGTCTTTGTTTATTATCGCAACATAACTTCTTCTACAGAATCTGCAAAGGTCCGGATTGGAAACCTGGCATATTCGTGCAATTCACCAAAGAGGGCGGCATCGCGCGCGAAGCCGGTCTAAGGCCGGGCGACCAAATTCTCCACTGCAACCAGGTGGATTTTGGCGATATCAATTTCAACGAAGCTGTGAGTCTGATGAAATCCTCGAAACAGTTACAGTTGACGGTGCGCAAGGGCGCAGGTTCTGAACTGTTTCCTGGTGAGTCCAGCGGTTACAATAGCTCGGCTAGTAGCGTTACTGGAGATCAAAGTCCATCGTGGGCCGATTCGAAGCGACTGTCAATCGTCAAAGAAGAGTTGACGCAGTTGGATCAGTTCAAGAAAAATTGTTAGTGAATTGCGTTGTTTTTTAACTTATTATATTTTGAATCTTTTAGTTAAAAAATGGGACTCTTGGGACGAGGATTCTGAAGACAAGCCGCTATTCAAACCCACAATAATTAATTTAACTGAAACTGGTACTACGATTCATAACAATGGCTCACAATCACAGTATTCGTTTAAGGAAGAACCATTGTATACTCTTCCTCAAAAAACACATCCAAAAACTATGGCAGAAGTGCACCATAACTCTGAAAAAAACGGTCACTTAACTTTGACAAAAAGCGCCTCCACTAGTAGTTTTGGCAGTGTTGCTAGTTGCAGCAACAGCGTGGCTAGTAATGTGACTAGCACCAGTTTGTCTTCGGCTATTACAATGGAAATTCAACGAAGACAAAAGAAAATTTTGACTGGGAAAATATCGATAGACGACCAATTGAGGGGGAAGATTTTTAAAAATACTGGGGATTCGGAAAAGCAGTGGCAACACAGTCAATTAATGGACGAATTTAAAAAGGCGCATAGGAGAATGTTTAAAAATTGTGGAAACGAAATTAATGAAAATTTGTCCAGTTGTGAAGTAAGTAGAGTAGGAATGATTCTATTATTCATTGATTGACTTTTTAGAAAGTGGTCACGAAAGGCGAATTGTTGAAATTATTTCAATTTTTTAAAGCTGATCTGTTAAGTGTTACAAAATATATTTTTAACAGAATTCAGCAGAAATACGACTCAAACCTATTAAAAATCAAGTTTCAATTACTTCAAGCCTCTACGCAAATTTATAAAATTCTCAAAAACCTGCTCGAACCTTGGTAGGTATATACCTACCTACCTACTTTTCAATAAATCGCTGAAGAGACTACTATAGTTATTTTTGTCACAAGTACCTAAAATGAAGTTTTTCAGGACGAATCATAGCAGTTTCCGGAATAGCAGATGAGTCCTGGAAAACTTCTTTAGGTACGTGTGACAAACACTATTTTTTGTCATACGTACGCTTTTTAGAATTCTTCAGAACGCTAAAACTTGCAAAATTTCCCTAATTTTTGAAATCATAAAGGTACATTCAGAAAGAAAAAAAAAAATCCTAAAAAGAAGCATTTTACGGACTTAAATGAGTCCGTAAAATAGCTGTTTTTGGGATCGTATAATGACAAAAAAAATTTTTGCAATTTTTGCCCTTCCCCTTTAAAATTTTCACTAAAAAAAATTCCCCAAACCAAGAATATCTCTCCTAAACTTGACAACGCTGCCAAACTACCTAATTTTAGATATCCATAGCGCAGACGCTTTTTTCTAATAATTTGATTATTCCGTGTTTATATTGTTGCAATAATAATTGTTTTTTTTTACCTAAATTCAGGTTCAGTGTTCAGTTCAGTTCGGTACCGTCAAGTACCGCTTAGTTTTCGTAGAAATTTGTTTTGGCTGGGCGTCATTGCGATTGTTTTCTGTTTGTGTAATAATAAATAGCTAGTTTTCAATTTCGGTTGAATAATCATGAAATCCAACAGAAATGGACCTCAGTTTGTGTTGCAAACTTACGAAGTGGGTATATTTTTTTTGGGTCATTTAAAAAATAGTAACAATATTAAAATTTTTAACTATGACCAGAATATTAATTTGGTATTATACGTGTTGACTATTAAGATAAGAGAGGCTTTATCGCTTAATGCGAAATGTATGTTATTTACTTTTTCTTAAAACAATTAAGTGGATTATTTGAAAAATCTGTACTTACCGGAATTTGTTTTCAGGATCGAATTAACAACAATAACGAATTAACGCAAAAATTATCGAAAAGATTATCAGAAATACAACAAACGAGTGATTGTTCCAATGGTGCGACTCCTCCACCACCACCGCCGGTGAGAATTTTTTATTTTTTTTTTGATATTGGGTGATCAATTTTAGATTTTATTTTTCCTGCTACGCCACTGTCTGACTGAATTCACTCGTGATATTCCAATGAAATTCATATTCTATCAGGATATTTTCCGTATGGGAAATTTATAGTAGGTACCGGGTGGTTTGTCTATATTTTGCACCAACACCTATCTCACCACCTGTTTGAAGAGATTTAAACCGAATTTCCGCGACGAACTACTTCCATGATTCCATGAACCCAAACGCTTTCGCGCGAAACGTCTATGTCAGAAACAATACAATGAAGTTAGTTACAATAAGTATACAGGGTGTGTTACAATGTCACAAAAGTATGGCGAAGCAAAGTTATACTTTTTTAAATGGAACACCCCATATATTATTGACCTATTGGATTAGTCTTTCAAACCTGATTCCAAATATCATAGGTTTTTTAGATTTACTAGGTCATGAGCGCGCTTCGCGCGCTTTTTTTTTAAATCAAGTCCATCAAAATAATTATAAAATGGAAAATATTTATTAGGTGTTGTACAAAAAACAGCATAATTTTTGATTTAAATGTACATTATACATTAAATGTAACAGTGAGATAAGTTGTATAGATGTTATTCTAGTGAAGAAATTTCAAATGCGATGGATGGAGTTGGTGACTAATTATTTTTGTATGGTATATCATAATGATTTTAAATCGATCACATTTCTTGAATGTACGGTGTGCGTATGTCTACTTATCTCATTCTGTTTTATGGAACTCGTAGGTGTAGGTATACATTATTCGAAGTGGTTTATTTAAAACAGAATAATCATAACCATAATCAAGGTGTTATTATAAACCGAGTTAGTAACTATTTATGTGCTGTGGTATAATACGAGATATCGAGTCTTAATTTTTTTTTTACATTTTCATGAAGTTCCTTTTTTTTTATTAGGCCAGTTATTGAAGTCTACTCGATCAACATTTTACTGCAAACAATCGAAAAAAAAAATTTTTTAAAAGATTTTAAATTCAATTGCTCAATTATTCAACTTCATTTTTTGTTTGTACCTACGTGGTAGACATAAATTTTAAATGTGATCAAAGTAGTTGGTGAATTATTACTTTTGCGGTACATCGTAATGACTTTAAATCGATCTTATTTTTTGAATATACGGTGTGCATATGTCCAGTGCAACTTATTCTATTTTATGGAACTCGTAAGAATCCAAAGTTTAAAGAGTGCTAAGTCTTCATGTCGTTCTTCGTTATTTTCAATCATTTATGTTTATCGTGTTCAGGTTTTTGTCTTGTGATCTTCAAATATCTTGTAAATAAGTTGTAAAGATCTTCTGAAATCACCTATGACTGCGAAATTTCAAAATTAAATTATCAAAAAAACAATTCTTTAAAAACATGGTTTTTGACAACACTATTGCCTCTTTGTTTCCCTGAATAAAGTTTGAATGAGTCCCACGAACGAACTCTGAAAAGCGCCACATAAAGTTGTCCGTGACTAATACATCCTTTCTGGAGATCAATTACTATCCTATCAAATGTTTGTCCTTGAGATTTGTTAATCGTAACTCATTGCAAAGGCTAATTTTATTTTAAAATTGTCTTTGTTTGAACGTAAAGGGGTAGACGTTTTCGCAGTAGAGTGTTATTCGATTTATGAACACTATTTCTCCCTGTTTATCTACAGTCAATATCTCACAGCGTAACAGATTATCCCCAAGTTCCAGAACTAAAGGCCTTGTACCATTGCAAAGGCCTGCACTGATGCTTAGATTTCTAATAAGCATACAATAGAATTCGTTTTCAATCGTAAATCATGGAGCGGGAATTCGGCGGATTAAGCGAATTTAAATATTTTGGAAGAATAGCATCATTTAGATCACTATTATCACAGTTCTTGACACTATCTATACTGGTGTAGAGTTTTTCGGTCTTGACGTCCAACAGTTCGACAACTTATTCGTTTATTTCTTCGACATCAACATTTCTTGCAGAAAGTATTGCAGATTTGGTCAAGTCCCTGAATCTTCCTTCTTTTAGTATTGTTCGTCGACTTTTCGTATGAGGAGCGAGGGGGTGAAGCGAAAACCAGGGGTGACCTTAGGTGACCATTGGCGTTCAAATGTAGGGTGCCACCAGCTCACATTCCTTTCGAGTATTAGATTAAAATCGACGGACTTTACTTCTCATAGATGTTTTCAACAATATCCGAATTATCAATACATTTCTCCGACAATTTTAGATTGTCGTTAGAATCATTTAGTGTTCGTTATCGCATAAAAATGGCTCAATTTCAGCAATAAGTGCTTAATATTGGCCTTTAAGGCGGCAACCGTTCGAGATTTGTCAACATAGACTTTGGATTTTAGAATGCCCAGAGAAAAAAATCCAGTGACGTTAGGTCGGCCAATTGTGGATTCTGAAGGACGATCGTTGACATCATAAATTGCACGGAGTGCACGAAACGTTTTCCGAATAGAACATTGGTTTTGATAATGATAATAATTTTTAACAATTCCGACGCGTTGCTCAATCGTGTAGCGCTCCATAATAAAATGCAGAGACTAATTGAATACGGCTGCCAAAGATAGCACCTGTGTGACTATCGAGTTTTTCATGGGCTATTGTCAAACATCGAGCGTTACTATTGGAAAACCCTATACATACCTAGATTCTTCTATTGGACCTAGAAAAAATATTAAACCACTTCCTTGCTTTGAAAAACAACCATCTACAGAGCAATATCTAATAGCACAGCTAATAGGCATATTGTCAGAGAATTGTCACATAAGTAACAAATTCACAGTCCTTCACAAAGATGCAACCGAGGAGAACATTGAAAATGCCGAAGCAAACTTCAACGCTAATGCTTGTGATTATTGTGAGCTTTGAGATCCGCTAAAATTCAACCCTTTCCAGATTTTCCAGAATTTTTCCGACCCAATCCAGAAATTTCCATGCGTTTTCCAGACGTTTCCAGAAATTTCCAGACTTTATCCAGATTTTTCCAGACTTAGCTAGACTTTATGCAGACTTGTCAAAATTTCTCCAGACCTTATCAAGCCTTTTCCAGAGGTTTCCAGACATTTCCAGACTTTCCCAGACTTTATCCAGACTTTTCTAGACTTGGCTGGATTTTTCCAGACTTTATCCAGACTTGTCTAGATTTCTCCAGACCTAATAGAGCCTTTTCCAGACGTTTCCAGAAATTTTCTGGCTTTTCCAGACTGTATCCAAACTTATCCAGACTTTTCCAGATTTAGCTAGACTTTATCCAGACTTGTCTAGATTTCTCCAGACCTTATCCAGCCCTTTTCTGACCTCTCCGGACTTCTCCCAAACACTTTCCCGACTTCAAATACACTTTTCCAGACTTTATCCAGACTTGTCTGAATTTCTCCAGACCTTATCAAGCCTTTTCCAGACGATACCAGAAATTTCCAGGCTTTTCCAGACTTTATCCAGACTTTTCTAGACTTGGCTAGATTTTTCAGACTTTATCCAGACTTGTCTAGATTTCTCCAGACCTAATAGAGCCTTTTCCAGACGTTTCCAGAAATTTTCTGGCTCTTTTCCAGACTTTATCCAAACTTGTCTGAATGTCTCTAGACCTTATTAAGCCTTTTCCAGACGTTTCCAGAAATTTCCAGGCTTTTCCAGACTGTATCCAGATTTTTCTAGGCTTAGCTAGATTTTTCCAGACTTTATCCAGACTTGTCTAGATTTCTTCAGACCTAATAGAGCCTTTTCCAGACGTTTCTAGAAATTTTCTGGCTCTTTCCCAGACTTTATCCAAACTTATCCAGACTTTTCCAGACTTAGCAAGACTTTATCCAGACTTTATCCAGACTTATCTAGATTTCTCCAGACCTTATCCAGCCCTTTGACCTCTCCGGACTTCTCCCAAACACTTTCCCGACTTCAAATACACTCTTCCAGAACTTATCCAGACTTGTCTGAATTTCTCCAGACCTTATCCAGCCTTTTTCCGACGTTTCCAGAAATTTCCAGGCTTTTCCAGACTTTATCCAGACTTGGGTAGATTTTTCCAGACTTTATCCAGACTTGTCTAGATTTCTCCAGACCTAATAGAGCCTTTTCCAGACGTTTCCAGAAATTTTCTGGCTTTTCCAGACTTTATCCAAACTTATCCAAACTTTTCCAGACTTAGCTAAACTTTTTCCAGCCTTATCCAGACTTTATCCAGACTTGTCTAGATTTCTCCCGACCTTATCCAGCCCTTTCCTGACCTCTCCGGACTTCTTCCAAACACTTACCCGACTTCTATTATGTATAAGTAATTGCCTATCTATGAGTCGGCACTCAATGTATGCAAAAGCGGTAACAACCTTGAACTAACATAAACATATCGATTTTATATTCCGATTGCCTTATTTGCATAATTAAAGCGGTGACAACCTTGAACTAACATCTCGATTTTATAGTCAGATTCCTCATAGATTAACAACTAAAAACGACACATACAACAGTAAACAAATAATTTGCGATCCAACATCCATAAGGTCGATTTTTTCATGAAATGCCTGGTTGCCAATAATCTGATGTGATTTTCAATATTAAATGTCTTCACGGATAATTTCAAAATATGTTTTAATATACTCCTGGACAAAATTATCGCACCACTGCACATAAGCATCACCATAAGCAGTGGTGCGATAATTTTGTCCAGGAGTATATAATGTAAAAGCTTTTTTGTATCAATCTTTGTTGAAACATAACTTATCTAAATGCCTTTTTGAATAGGATAGTTGTTTTTTTTTTAAAATTTTAATTGGTGAAAAGTCTGGAATAACCAGAAATATATTGCTCAAAAAACGGCACATCGGCAACGTTGCATCTACGAGCAAACAATCAGATGATCTTATGTGACTTATGTGATCCATAACGAATTTGGCAGTGTTGCTGTGAAGTGATAGTCGGTCTTATCCATTTTGTGATTTTGAGTTAATAAGTGGTATTCTGTGGTAGTAT